CTCTTGGATATGTCAAAGCAGTTTAAATGTGTGATGCAACCCATCTTCAACCCCACACACCCTTGTTTTATGGGGTCACATTCCAGTCTGAAAGAAACTGTCGCTCATGGAGCACAAGTTGGAGGGGTCACATTCCTTTACATTGATTTAATAATAGTCTGAAAGCTTCATTTCATAGCACCTAATTTTCAGAGTAATACTTTGAGTGGGGACTCTTTGTCATGTAGCAAGTATTCCTCGAGTCGCAAATATTGATATTTTTTATGGATTATAAACGATAGTCTAAACTACAGAAGAAGGGATTTCTCACACATGCCCACACAATTATAATGTCGTGAAAATTTAAATCTAAGACTTCTGGTTTACAAGTGAATACCTCTTCTCACTCGATTAGACCTCGTTGACTGCAAACACTGATATTTTAAAACATAATATGTGGTACAAAACTTTCATTTGATTATGATTCTGTCACACATGTTATTACTCTGTCACGTGACATGGAAAAGTCTCCGTCCAAGTTTTTCTGCATTGGCAATACTTTTTAGTTAATGGGACTACATACACACTCTATCCCATCTTTACAATTTTTAAATGTATTATGTCTCTTTCAAGTTTACAACAACTTGCATAACTTAGAAAGAAAAAACTTTTCTAAAGCACAACAATGCCCTAGTTGCTTTTTGGTAAATCTCTCAACTCCCCACCAATACCATGCTACTTTTTTCTTCTTCTTCTAAATACCATGGTCCTTTGTTAGGGAATAGTTAATTGATTTTTTAAATTTTAAATATTTTAAATATGTATTATTATTATTATTATTATTATTATTTATAGTTTTCGGAGGTCATTGTCTTTGATTCAATTGAGAATAAGATGAAGGTGTTTGAAAGAAAGTACTTGGATTGGAAAACAAACCTAAATTTGCTAAAGAAAACTAAAAACCTAGAAAACATTTGATTTTATGTATTTGAAATAACTAGATTTGATTTTATGTCTTTTTTATAGAGAGATTTGATTTTATGTTGAAATCACTCTATGTAGTACATTTAGGATGAAATTAAAAAACCCATATGCAATGAGTCATTTAAAATCCATTTGTTTTCTTCATTCCCCATCTTTTAAATCTTTGCATACATGTATTGTAGTAGTCTCAATAAACCGTTTTTAACTATAAATCCTAGATTTGAAATCACTCCATCCAAATAGACTCGGGTTTATTGAATTTGGACTTGACACTATTGGATTGAAACGACTATATGCAATGAGTCATTTGGAATACATTGTTGTCTGAACTACATATATAAAAATTCCCAACAGTTCGCTAATAATGGGCTCCAAATGATAATTGTATGATAGATGCTAGCTAGTGATGTTTAAACTTATTCTACACTCTTGCACAAATGCTGAGAAGTTTTAGCCCGTTCTGTCTTACTACATCTATTTCTTCGAGTATGAGGCTTTTCCTTTGGAGCTTCAATAAATAAAGGAGTATTTTAATCCAAATAGAAAGGAAGGTTCTAATGACACGCTGCAATTCAGAGACAACAGAAAATATAGACCATTAACAAAAGCATGCACGTAGACCTTTGAGCCAAATGAAAGACATGCCTTGCAAACCAGCAAGGTCGAAACTCAAACTAGAAACAAAACCTAACAGGGATACTCAAAACCAAACTTAATAGCTCCATTGTAAGAACCCTGATCTAGGTTTACATGCTATATCGGAGATAAACACCTAAGTACAGCAGATGATGCATGGTTATTAGATTGATATATGGGAGTGGATGTTAGAGTGTACGAGAGTCCGAGTTGGTATTGTGTGATGAGATGTGACTTCTAATAATAAACCACCAAGTTTGTGTATCAGACCAGCATGTTTTGAGTTTTCTATCTGAAGGAGCCACGAAATAAAGAGAGACAGAAAAAAGGAGAAGCCAGATCCTGCTGCCGCTGTTTTGCCATTTTGTTTTCTAATAACTAGGCCATGTTTGATAGGGAGCATTAGATTGGACTAGCTTGGGGTAGTAAAATGCTTAGATTTCATGTGCAATCAAGGAATAGTATGGGTGTTGTTTTCTAACTTAAGGATTATGATGGACTATTCATAAGAGGTTCATGCCTAAAACTTATCCCTACTAATCCCACTTCAAGGGGATTAGTGGGGATAAGTTTTAGACATCAATCAATCTCATATGAATGGTTCACCTTAATCCTCCAAGTTACAAGACAACACCCACATTCTTCCTCGATTGCACATGAAATCTAAGCATTTTACTAGTCAAGCTAGTCCAATCTAATCTTCCCTATCAAACATGGTAGGGTTTTCTTTCGTTTGGCTCTAATCAAATGAAAGGTTCCCTTTGGATCAAACAGTTAATATAAGGGGTAAATTTGATAAACACGGTGCAACCCAAATATGTCTTCTCAGAATCCTTCAAAATGGAGGACATATGCCCAACAATCATACCTAACCAATTAAAAGACAAATAAACAGAAAGTCTTAAAAGGGAAGAGCATATATACCTTTTCAGGTGAAAACCCGAAGATAACTTGCTTGTGGGTTTCTAAACTCTAGGCCCGTCAAACTAATTCACTGTAAAACCCAGCAAACAGATTAATCTTTAAGAAATATCACTCAAGAAACCACTAATAACACCAATATGCATGTGGACCTGTAGCTCTTCTGATCTACAAAATTAGACAAACCCCCCTGGTTGAGAAAATTGAATACCAACCAAATTTTCTTTCACATGAATATGGACCTGTAGAAAGAAAATACATGTAGCAACTTATTTATTCTGAAAAATTGAACAGGAAAGAAGTCGAGCAAATTGAACAAAAGAGATAACCAGAATGAAAACACACACAGAAGAAAGACAATGAAAGAGTATTAGTACACAAAGTTAACCAATGGGCATTAAAGAAACAAAATCTATATCATCAAGTTCATTTAACCTTAGGATAGAGAATTTAAACAAGCATTTTCGTTGACCCGTCACTGACACCATAAAAACTACAGCTAGGACTATAAATCCATTTCTCAAACTCATACAAATAAAACACTACAGTAATTTTAAAGGAACAAGGAAGGAGGATAAGAGAGAAATTTCATCTCACAGTTTCAATGCCAGCAACCAAAAAAACCTAGTAGTTTCTATGGCGGATATTTAGTATATCGTACTATTCATTCTGCACAATAGTGCCGGAAAACACACCAATTAAACAGGAAGACCTTTCCCCAAATCAATTTACCATGCCTAGTACTTAGGAAAAAAAAAAAAAAAAAAAAAAAAAAAGTTTTTAAACTTTACTTGGACACTTCTTAGGCCAACGCCAAAATTTGGGAAGATAAAAGCTCTCATGCTTCCTTTTTCTTTTTCTAAACTTTACGGTACATAATCTACTATCCAAACTTTAAATACAATAACATTAGTTCATAATTCATAACCCTTTTCAAGAAATCTACACATTAGTCAATATTTACATATAAAAGTCTCATCTCATACGTTGTGAATATCCCACAAACCTATCAAATTTAACTTTCCAATATATATGAGTTTGACTCTTTTTCCCTAAAAGATAAAGGGAAATTCTAACCAAAATAGGTTTTCCACTAATCTCACAAATTACCCAAATGTTGACTACTCCTCCCAGATGAAAAACCCAAATAGAGATAAGAACAAACACAAAGACATTTATATACAAATTTTCTCTTGCCAGATATTGGCATGCTATGTTTTGAGACTCAATCTTGAGTGTGAACTATACATTCAAACAAGAATCGACCTAGTAAAAAGTCCAAACTGACAAGCTGATACCATGACATGCAGGATTGATTGGCAGGAGAACAATTGCACATGTATATAATACATATAGATATATTGATAGAAACCGTAACCTGTTAAGCCAACCTCTTGGAAAGGAACCACTAAAACACTTATCATACCCTGCTAAACAACACATTGCATTGGAAAGGCCTTTTGTTCACTGAAATAAATCAAAGAATCAGATCAAGATAAAGTAAGAGAGACAAAAATCCGATAAATGTTGTGTGTTATTTGAGGTTATGGTTCCCCACTTCTGACCAATTTTGCGTAATTTGGTTAGAGTAGAAAAAAAAACCCAGATATTTTGAAAGGAAAAATCAATGGCAAAGAATCAAAGATTAGAGGTGCTGCAACCATGAATGTGAGAAGAGTCAATTGACGATGGTTGTGAGAGGTCTGTGGTGATGGGTGCTTGGTGGTAGACAAGAGAGGAGACGAAGTGGGGAATGGCTTCCTGGAGAGGGGAGTAGGCCTGGCGGCGGGAGCGGGCCAGGCGGCAGCAGTGGCGGGGCTGTAGGGAAGCACTGAGAAGGGAAACTCACCATTTTTTTATCGCTGAATTAGATATCAGAATGGTGCTTGGATTTTTTTTTCAAAACACCATTTAAGAAGTTCGTACTAAAAATCACCAAAAAAAACTTGTTTAACCGTGCTCTAAACAAGAATGCTTTATTATAAATATAAAAAACTCTTGTTCTTACCCCTTAGTTGACGGTACTTGAATCTTGTTTCTGTACTCATGCAGATGTCTACAAAATGCAAGCACATCTGAGATGACATCCTCAAAATACACACACATATCCAATAGGACAATGGTGACCTGAAATTTATGCAATGGACAGCATTGAAATCAAGTAAGGAGGGGGAGGGGCTGAAATGGTAATGGAATTATAGGGTCCACAATTGGCATGAGAAGTATTTTCACCTGAAATCAAGCCAAAAAGAAAAGTAAAAGGCAATGCTTCATTGCCTCAACTCTTTTTAGTTTCCTCTGTTTAAAGCTCAGAGTAGCCTTACCTACCAAAATTATAAATCCACCCAAAAAGGTAGGACTCATACAGGATCTGTTCAAAGCAGCATCAAAACTGTAAGGTAGGACTAGTAACTCATGTGCTCAAAGAAGCACCAACAATGCTTAGACGTTACAAGGAATTCCTCTAGTCTGACTCACAATTAAAGATGTCCTACTGCTTGGTCCATTGCAGCTCCATGAGTCTTGCAGCCTTCAAGGAAACTACGCCATATAATGACATTTGGTGGGAAGGACATGTTGGAAATCACTGTCTCTGCTTCCGTAACATGTCCACATTTAGCCAACAAGTCAACTATGCAATGGTAATGATCCATTTCTGGTTCAACACCATAATCCATTTTCATTTTCCCAAATAACTCCATCCCATCTCTCACTAACCTGCCATGCCTGCAAGCCGTAAGAACTGCAGTAAAAGCTACTCCATCAGGCTTAAAGCCCAAGAGTATCATTTCTCTGAATCGTTCTAATGACTCATGAACATAACCATTAAGTCCAAGTGCAGAAATTAGAGCTGTCCACGTGATTAAATTTTTTTCTTTTATTTCTTCAAAGATTTTCACTGAGCTGTCCACACTACCACATTTCCCATACATGTCAATTAAAACGTTGCATGCAAATGTGTCACAAGAACTGAAATCTATCTTAATGATATAACCATGAAGAGAACTGCCCAAAGAAAAACTGCAAAGTTTTGCGCACACACTTAGAAGGCTGACAAATGTATAATTGTCTGGCAGGACTTGAATCAAATGCATCTGTTTGTAAAGCTCAAATACCTCTTCGTAATAACCGCTGCGGGCACAAGCTGCAATCACAATGTTCCAGGATACAATGTCAAGTTTTTCACGTAGAGAAAGAAATTTTAGAGTTTCATTATATCTCCCAATTCTGTTATAAATTCCAGCAATGACATTAGAAGGAACTGCAGAAAGAAGACCATCAGAATCCGTGAGAAAGACCAGGACATGAGATACAAGACCATTTTTGGCATATGAGGTTATAAGAGAGCTCAACACATACTCGTGTTTCTGAAATCCCATTCTTACAATTAAGCAATGCAGCTGCTGGAGCTCTAATGCCAATGATGACTTAAGCGCAGCTGAAAATGAGAACTCGTTAGGTCGGTAACCTAAATGAAGCATTTCTTGCAGTAAGAGTATGGATGCAGGGGAATAATTATTAGAGTAACCCAAAATCAAAGCATTCCAGCAAACCACATTTTTCACATAGATCTCATTAAAACAGCGTCGGGCACTTTCCAAGTTATCACATTTAGCATAAAAATTAACCAACGCACTACCTACAAAAACATTAGATTCCAAACCATGCTGGATTATCTTAACATGAAAGGACTCTCCATAGAATGGAATCTCCAAATGCGTACAACAGTTTATAAGGCTAACAAATGTGGTCTCAGTAGGCAAAACTCCATCCACGGACATTTTAGTAAATAATTCTAATGCTTTTTGAGGTCTATCAGTTTTTGCTACCACACCAATCATAGTATTCCATGATACCACATCCAGAAAAGTCACCTCTTCAATAATTTTCTCAGCCAAGCATATGCCAGTGCACTTCATATACATACTTATAAGAGAGTTCACCACTGCAACTTCACACTTAAACCCATTTTTTATGACTAAAGCATGCAGTTGTTCCCCAAATTCAAAGTCTTGCTGGCATGACAATGCTGAAAAAACACCCACAAAGGAACCTTCAGACAAAGTACAATGCATCCTCACTAGTTCCCGAAATAAAAACACACAATTTTTAGCAAAACCGTGATTTCCAAGCAAATATATCAGTGAATTCCATGTTACCAAGCTCTTACAAGGCATATCCTCAAATGCCCAAACTGCTTCCTCGAACAACCCATGCCTTCCGTAAAATCCCAACAAACAAGTCCCCACAAAAGCATCTACATCAAACAGTCCATTCTTTATTACCAAAGAATGCAATTGAACCCCATGATAAACATCCAATGACTTACACGTCAAAAACCCACCAACTGCATACTGAGTTGGCTCAAACCCACAAACTCTCATCACAGAGAATATTTTCCAAGCTTCCCCTACATACCCACATTTACTATAAGCACTAATTATGATATTATATGACACAACGTTTCTATGAGGCATTTTATCAAACAAGTAACGAGCAACTGACAATTCCCCAAGCGACGAATATTGAGACATGATATTATTGTAGACAAAAGTGGGTTGGGTTGGAGATGGACCCATTGTGATGTTGAGAGCATGGAGTTGTTTTGTTACTCTAAGGGAACGAACCCTTGAGCATGCGTGCAGAAGTTGCAGAAGACGTTTGTGTTGTTTGAGGAAATCTCCATGGAAGCTTATGCTGTCGGTAACAACCAGAGACGGAGCCAGGATTGCAAAATTTGGGTGGGCTGAACCTCCAAACTCAAATTATTCTTTAAAAAAAAAAAAAAAAAAAAAAAAAAAAAAAAAAAAAAAAAAATTTGTCAAAAAATTTAAAGTCTGCTTTGTTCCTTTGACTCCCAAATTTATAGAACCTGTTGAAAAGATACAAATGAACTAGGAAACATAAAGTATAGGCACTTCCAAGATACAAACTGAACCACAAACCCAACTATGGTTATCCTCTAAGCGTGACATATTAGATTATCCGAATACTTTTGCAAGTGTTTACTGAGACAACAATATGAACTACTTTGCAAAATTTTAATACCCTGATATTAAATATATATTCCATTATCAATATTTCATTTTACATCAGTTAATCGTGTAACATTTTTCAATGATTTTTTTGTGAAGTAACCTAGATGTAAAACTGCAGGTTCCAATGGAAGCAGTTATAGAACACTTCTGTTGTTATTCGAACAATTATCAACCAACCTTAAAGAATAGTTTGTTCAACACTAAGAAAGGGAAATAATCCCTTAAGACAAAGCAAAACAGATTCCAGGGAGGGCAGTTAGTTTCAAACAAGAAATTTATAAAAAAATAATAATAAACTACAGAATACCTTTCTTTGTTCTTGAATAGAAACTTGTTGCAGCACTTAACTGAGATTAAAAAAAGGGTTCAAAATCAGAAAAACCATAAATAACAAATTTCACCCACAATATCAAAGCCAAATCACCAACCAAACTCGAGACTCAGTCATAAATTGAACCATAAACAACAAATTCCACGCTCAAAATCGAAAGGAATAATATTAATTGGGAAAAAACCCAGATGACCAGACCATATTCGTATATCACCCAACCAAGATGAACAGAAATTAAAAACTGAAAAAGAAATTTTACTTGAGAGGAGAGCAGATCGTAGTGGTGTTTTGGTAATGGAAAGGGGGAAAGGAGTTGAAAGAAATTTGCTTTAAGGCTGGGAGTTTAAGATTAGGGTTTAGACAGAAGAAAAAGAGAGAGAGGAAAGCAGATATATATGATACCTGAAATCAACAAACCCACTAGAAATCAGATGTAATCTCAACCGCTTGCTCAGAAATCTTCAAACCCAGATTCAAACTTAGAACCCAAAATCGAAAACCACAACCCAGATGTTGAAAAGAAAAGAGAGAAAAAATAACCTTAGCCATCGATACCCATACCTGATTGCTATAGGAATCTCGCAAGCTGAGCTCCCGATGGTGAAAGGTGCGCTCTTCTCCTTCTGTCGTTCTTTTTTGCGTGCGTGCGTGCCTTTCCTCTTCTCGGTCGATGTATTTGCGGAAGATGCGTGAAAACTGAGGAGAACGCGGCTGAAAAGAAGAGAGGAGTTTAGAACATCTCCAACCATGTTGGGGCTAAACTCAAATTTTCACCCTCCAAAATACAATTATTCATGTATTTTCAGGACTCAAAATTTTTTTTCCTCAAACCTTGTAGACTCATAATTTGAGTCCGCAACTTTATTAAATTATTTAAGAATGATTAACCCCTAAATTTTGTTTCTTGTTAATTTTTCTTAACATTATTTTTGTTTCAACACTCGTGATTTAATTTTATAAACATTTTAACCTAAAAAAATAAAATTCCAAAACATAATTGAATTTCACTTAAAATATAAAAATAAGTACAATATCATACGTATGCCCGGAATAATTCGAACTCTTCATTGAATTATGTAAGTGTGTTTAAATTATCTAAGTATTTTTAAATAAACGACAATCATTAAATTTTGCCGTTGAGATTGCTTAAAATTAATCATGATTATTGATTACAAATATAGTTGTTGGAATATTTTAAAAAAAACAAAAAACAAAAAAAAACCAACAATATCAGACTTTTGGCACAAAGTTGCTGCCCAAACAGTGTAACCAAAACTGGGCCCAGCAAACATTGTGCAGCACATGGGCTTCAGTCAGAAAATAAAAAATAAAAAAAGCAGATTTTGGGCCCACAAAATTATCAGTCCAGGCAAAAATGAGACTGGAATTCCACCCAAGATTTGAGATTTCTCAAATTTCCAATCCCCCAAAATACATGGGTTGGAGATGGTTTTTGGAGGCTAAACTCAAAATTTGAGTTTCCACCCCAAGGGTTGGAGATGGTCTTAGGGCGTGCATACAAGGGGTAAATTACTCAAATTGTTATCAAACTTGTACACGATTTACATTTTGGTCCCTCAATAAAAGGTTTTTTTTACCACAAATGGTCCCTTAGGTTTGCAAAATTATCACATTTCGTCCCTAACATTTTTTTGTGACACCAATGGTCCCTAAGGTTATCCTCCATACATCAAAATAGTCCCTGCCATTAGCTTCCATCAAATTTTCTGTTAAGTAGTTGACGTGACATGTGTGTGGATCCCACACATCCAATAGTATACATCCACGTGGCTTTAAATAAAATATATTATATTTTAAAAATTAAAATCCAAAAAACAAAAAAGACCTATGCCATCTGCATTCTTCCTTTGCCAGCGCCTCCTACCCACCCTTGCAGACCCACTCTGCCTCTCTCTCCCTCCCTTCTCTTTCTCTCCCTCCCTCATCTTCAATTTTTACAAGCTAATCTACCATAGCTTGATGTAGTTTCTGCATCAGGAAGTTTCTCCATGGTCAAATCTAAGCTTCAAAACACAAATTCTCTATGTGGGTCACTGGGAATATGAGCTCAGTGGTAGTAATTCTCAACTCTAAAGTCCCTCACATGATAATTTGATGAAATAAACACTTGGGTCCTTTTTTGTTTGACCAAAACCTGCAAATCAATGAAACGCAAATCTTAAAAGTTCGAAAAAAAAGGGTATGGGTTGAGACCCAATAGTGAAGATGAAGCGATCCAATTATAAGATTTACAAAATAATAAACCTGGTGGCTGGTACAGTTACAGTCATAACATAAACATTGAGTTGGGTTTTTGGATCAGGGAAAGCCCGAGAAGTCAAGGAAGAACAAGGAAGATGAGGGAGAGAGGGAGCATATGGTACATGGTATGGTTTTTTTTTTTTTTTTTTTTTTTTTATTTTTTTTTTTATTTTTTTTATATTTTAATTTAAAAATATAAAATATTTTATTTAAATTTATGTGGATGTATATTATTGGATGTGGTGGGCTCCACACACGTGCCACGTCAGCTACTTAACAGAAAATTTGATGGAAGCTAACAGCAAAGACCATTTTGATACTTGAAGGGTAACGTTAGGGACCATTGGTGTCATAAAAAAACGTTAGGGACTAAATGTGATAATTTTGCAAACCTAAAGGACCATTTGTGATAAAAATCCATTAAATTAATAGTCCAAATGGTACATAAACTCTATTTTAATTGCCCATTTGATCCAACCGTCTAATTTTCTATTAAACATAACCAAATTTTAGGGTAAATACGACTTTTCATAATTAACAAATAAAATAGGGTTAAAACAAATTAAAAATTAAAAATTAATTGAAGAAAAAGAGAAAAAAAAATAATGATACCCAACCCCCCCTTCGATTTCTTCTCCCTCATTCCCACAGACCTCTCCATATGGGCATAAATCCCCAAAATCCTCACAGCAATTTCGGCGTCTTAGAGGGTGAGAAATTGACAGTGGCTGTGATTTTGGGAGGTGGGGTTGGCGGGTTATAAGGTGGGGAGGAGGGTGGTGGGTGGTTGTCTCTCAACAACCAAGGGAAATCAAGGGGGAAGGGAAGAGGGTTTGGGTCATTGTTGAATAACATGAGCTATGCAGCCCTAACAGCATAGCCAAACCTAACAATTGGAGCTTTGGCCATGGCGTCTTTGTGGAGGACACTAATGGCCCCACCAGAGGCGTAGATGGCCTTGAGACCCCTATTGATGCTAGCCACCAAGGTACACTCCGTCATCGCCAAAGGCACCATGTACTCTTTTTCGTCCAGCAACAGAGGCCCGACCACTCCCACCGGAATCTACACATACCCCACCGAATTCTTACAGCACTGTCCCAGTATTGACTCATAGTCAAGCCTATCCAACGGTAGACCCTCTAGGGACTTACTCTATGAATCTTTGTGATTTTCTACTTGTCTTGCTTGACCGAGAATAGACGATAACAGATTTACCACTTGACAATGGGGTTCGAGCTCTTTTGAGGGGTTGTGCTAAGCTCAGAAGGTTTGCTCTGTATCTCCGTGCTGGGGGCTTGATTGATTTGGGACTTAGTTATGTTGGCCAGTATAGTCAAAATTTGAGATGGATGCTTCTGGGTTATGTTGGGGAATCTAATGCAGGGCTTTTTGAGTTCTCTAAAGGTTGCCCTAGCCTGCAAAAATTGGAAATTCAACACTTCTGGAGATCTGGTTTTAAGTGCAGTTGTTGGAATTCCAGTTCTTGGTACCACTCTGATGGGTTGTGGAAAGAGAGAGAGAGAGAGAGAGAGAGTTTTTATTTCATTTTTCAATATTTATTTATTTTTAACATACGAAATGACCAATTTGCCCTCATATTTAACAGCAACATTGATAGAACGTAACGGTAGGACCAATAGAGCGATTAAAATAGAGTTTATGTACCATTTGGACTAATAATTTAATTGAGGGACCAAAATGTAAATTGCGTACAAGTTTGAGGACCATTTGAGTAATTTACCATCAATAAAATATTATAATGTAATGGATTTCAGCTGGATTTGTAATTACAAGATTTTAATATATTGGAATTACATAATTTTACATATGATTTTAATAGATTGTAATTTCACTTACTCTCTGTTTGGATAAGGGAAAATTTAGCTCAAAGTTGGGAATTTAGGAGGAGAAATTGACAATTCCCTTGTTTGGCAACTTAAGTGTGGAATTTATAAAATGACACGCAGAAAAAATTGTGAAAATTAGGGCATCAAATTTCCAAGTTTAATTTTCACCAAAATAGGCGTCATTTCACAATTTCCATAGTGTTATTTACAAAATTCAACACACATAAATCCAAACACTGTCAGAAATTGAAATTGTGGAAATTGCGAAATTTTCACTTGGAAATAAGCACTAAAAATCCTGCTAAAAGAATTATATTTCAATAGCATTGGTATTTTACGTTACTGATGCTAAAACTTTATAATAGACATCAACTGACGCTATATATACTATAAAAGGCATCAATAGTTTGAAGTGGCGAAGTCTTTAGTACCTAATGCAATGTTTTTTTTTCCATCTAATGCCTAATAACATAATGGTATCGTTTTTATATTTTTTTGATTCCTATGCAGTGTAGTTTATTAAGAAATTTTTATTTTCTCGCAAGGTTTTTGAAGGTTGCCTGGTGATCTTGACTTTCTGTATCACTCATGTTGACTCTCGGTGTATACCAAGCTTATCTGCCCAACAAAAATAAAACACGTGGACTTGCGTACCACTAGGTGGAAAATGACCAAACTAGCCTCCACCTCGGCCTTGGAGCTACCTTGGGGAAATTTGAAAGGATACGAATCAGCCAAGTTAATGACAAGAACTACCTTGATAAGAAGTATGCTGCACGTTGGAAAGAGTGCCTATGTCCTCTCAAAAGCCACGTGTGAACCACCTAACACACCCTTGACCAAATGGGACTACCGCCGTGTGACAAGCTACTTTGTTCGCACCCGCCCCCTAGTAAAGACGCGTGAAGTCATCATGAGAAGAGGACTTGGATGAACCCCGACTGTCCGCCACTTGACAACTTGGTGTGATGCAAACGGCTCGACTCCTAGCCAAGGTGACAAACTCGTAAATTATCTTGTTTAAACCCCCTATAAATAGAATCCACAATGCTTGTAAGAGGGGATCCTTTTTGGAGTCTAGAAAGAATAATAATATGCTGGCAATCCGTGAAGATAGTTTTTTGTTCTTTATCCTTTTGTACTTCATATGTTAGCCACTGGGAATTTGTGGACTAAACATTTGGCGCCGTATATGGGAAACCATACTCAAAGGTTACGCGTAAGCTACTTCATTACCAATATGTTGGGTTTAAAGATGAATGGGATCCCTACCCTTGGCACCCTAAATCAGAAAAGCACGAAACGCCGAAAAGAGGAAAAACAAAAGGATAAGCGCCCTTGAAGCCAAAGTGGAATTACTCCTTAACGGGGCCGACGTCATGCATGATCTAAACAAAAATCTTCAGGACCACAACGAACAACAGCAGCAGATTGACCTCCAAGCAAACCTACGAAGAGCCCAAAACAAGGCCATCAGGGATTTGAGCAATACCAGACTGGTGGAAAGATGCCTGTTTGGCCAGGAACCGACATCCGTTTCCATGCCCCAACCTAGCAACGTCGCCCCCCGCTTCGACCCCGAGAATACCGATTATGAGGAAATCGTCCTCCCTAGTCGAGGCTCATGGAAAAGAAAGGATCACGCCACCGAGACTGACGACCAAACGTCTGATTAACCCATTATTCCAGCTTAGGAGCTCGACCTAAGAGCGACAATGAAGGCTATGATCAAATGAGAGATGGGAAGCTTATACGATAGGCTTGGCAAGGTCGAAAGAACCCACAACCCACTTGTCCCTTCATTTTCCGAGGACGAAATCCCTTTCCTTTATACCAATGAACTCCTCGAGGTGACTTTCGTTGGCGACACGAGGTCCTTGAAAATTGCCCTATACGAAGGACTCACATACCCGTATGATTGCCTTGATAGTTTTTGCTACTCCATGGAGGGACGGAAGGGGGGGCAAATGAGGTCACCAAGTGTAGACTCTTCCCGACCACCTTGAAAGAAGTAGCCCTGAACTAGTTCAAACGGCTAAATCCTGAATCCATCAGCTCATTCACCAAGCTATGCCAGATGTTCCTGGACAGGTACATGATCATATTAAGCAAATTATACCACGTCAATGATCTCTTTGCTGTGCGACAGAGAACGGACGAATCTCTACGCAATTATGTCACTCGCTTCAACAATGAATATGCTCATTGCAAGGGTTGTGATGAGGCAATGGCCTATAACGCCCTCATAGGAGGCTTATAGAGTGGGGACTTTTTCTTCCACCTTACTTGAAATCCCCCTGAAACGTACAAAGACCTTCTCCGAGAGGCCACATGCTACAGTCAAGCCGAGCAACTAAACATGGCCTACACTAGCATATGGAGCACGTAAATCGTAGGCGCGGAACCTTATTGGCATATTCTAGATGCAGAGGGAATCCCAAAAAGAAGGAGCACTAACCGTAGAAAATATCGACCAACAAAACAATGTCTCAAAGCCTTACTCAAATTACACGCCCTTAAATGCTAATAAAGGGGCCATATTGGCAATTGCAAGGAAAGAATTGCTCGCTCCGTTCCATGGTCAGAATGAATACTTGGGGAAAATAGATGAGGCTCGGTACTGCAAGTACAACCGCATGTATGGACAATAGACGAAAAATTGTTACCAACAGAATGAAGAGATTGAGGTGCTGGTAAGGAAGGGAAAACTCCAAGAGTATGTGGCCTACCCTGACACCGCCACAGACCCTTCCGGGGAATCAACCCAAGCCTCGGTCTCCCAAAAACTAATAGCCACAATCTAAGTAGGTCCATTGTTAGGCGGCAACACCAATAAGTCCAGGAAATGGTATGCTCGGTCACTCGACCAGGCAGCTAGCCATGCCCTCTCTATTGGTGATAGTGCCTAACCTGACAAACGAGCTTGGATGAGTGATAAGGAACCTATCATTTTTAGACCAGATAACGAGCATACCTTGCAACCTCACAATGATCCTCTAGCTATCTTAGTCGGTATTGAGAATTGCAACATAAACTGGGTCTTCATCGAAGGAGGGAGTTCCTTCAATGCTAGACTAGGTCGGTATAAATCAAGTGTTTCTGGACAAAAAAAGGCCCCCGCTTTATGCTTTCAGGGGAACTCAGGTGCAGCCCCTATGCAATATACACCTCGCTCTGACCAAAGGGGAATGTCCACGCAAGGTGACCACGGTCGCCAACTTTGTAGTTGTGGATTGTTCAACCACTTACAACGTCATCTTAGGCCAACCCGCCCTTACAGAGCTCGATGTCAGCATTAGTTACTGCACCCTCATGCTAAAATTTAGAACACCTCATGAGATAGGGACTATCTAGGGGATAAGGTCTAGGGACGGAACTGTTACGTCATAGTCATGAGGCTGAAAATCCCCCCAAGCGATACTTTTGTTACCAACACCAGTCGCTCGATGATCGAGTTTTGCCTTTCTTCGGGTGCCTACTGATTGCATGTTCAGGATCGGCTTTTCACGATTACCTTCGGCATAACATAGCGGGATACATCCCGTGTCCTTCTTGAGAAAGGTAGTGCGATTGATATCATTTTCTCCCTAGCAATCTCCCACTTCGGCCTCGAAGCTAGGAAACTCGCCTCTACCACTATGAGTTACACACTTTCAAAGCCACGAGAATGCACACCCTTAGCCATATTGACCTCAATATCTGGATAGGGCTTTTCCCAACACAGGCTAGAGTACTAGCACACTTCGTAGTGGTCGATCACCTGAGCTTGTTGTTTGTCATTTTTGGCTAACCAGAGCCTGTAAAGGTCGGTCGGATTTGGGGAACGAAGGTACCATTGACCATACACGGCATCAATAACAGAATAAAACTTTCGTAAACATTCAAGGGCTGTAGATTCACCCAATCTACAGTACTTGTCGGTGGAGTCTGCCGAGCATCCATATGCGAGCATTCGAAAAATGGCTGTTAGCTTCTGCTCTGGGGATAGACTTTGTTGTCCATAATCATCTACCTTCTGGGTAAAGTATGGTTTATGTGCAACAACATCATTTAAGATGCGATAGAAAAACTCTCTTCTCATGCGGAACCGCCTGCGAAAGTCCACTGGGGGATAAAGTGGTCTTTCACAGAAGTAGTCCTCCATGAGACTCTTATGATGTTTTTCTCTCTTCCAATTCTTGTATTCACAGCCTACAACAAAACCACCATGTTTGGATTGTTGAGCATATTGCTCATGCAAAAACGTATGGTGTTGAACAGCCATTGCAACCCTCTGTTGATGAAGGTCATCATCATCATAATTATCATTGAAGAAATTTTGTATAGCATTCCCACATGAATTCATTGTAAGAAGGAGAATTGAAGGAGATTGTGTGGTCAATTCAGTATAATAACACTTCTTAAATAGATAAGAGAATGAGATGACCTACGAGTTTGAAAATAATTGAATGAAGATAGGAAAAGATAGGGAAATATAAGGGAATCCAATAAAGTGAGATGAACAAAGATGAGCAATGGTTCAGAACGTGATTGAAACAAGACAAGATGGGAAATGGTTCAGAAAATAATTGAATGAAGATAGGAAAAGATAGGGAAAGATAATGGAATCCAATAAAGTGAGATGGACAAAGTTGAGCAATGGTTCATAACATGATTGAAACAAGACAATAGGGGATGGGAAAAAGTTCAGAAAATAATTGAAGAACACAAGTGGAGGTGGGCAAAAGTTCAGAATATTATTGAATGAGGATAAAGGAATCCAATGAAGTAAAAGTGAAAGTAAAAATTGAAGAAAATTATGCCAATGGCTTCAATGAAGGGTTTGAATTATTTCGAACATACGTATGGTATTGTATTTGTTTTTATTTTTAAGTGAAATTCTATTATGTTTTGGAATTTTAATTTTTTTGGGTTAAAATGTTTAGAAAATTAAATCACGAGTATTGAAACAAAAATAATGTCAAGAAAAATTAACAAGGAAAAAAATTAGGGGTTAATCATTCTTAAAGAAGTTAATAAAGTTGCGGACTCAAATTATGAGTTTGCAAGGTTGGAGAAAAAAAAAATTGAGTCTTGAAAATACATGAATAGTTGTATTTTAGAGGATGGAAATTTGAGTTTAGCCCCAACATGGTTGGAGATGGTCTTACAACTTCTTCATTATGATATAGTAGTGGTACTCTACCATTTGAGGAATTGTCTTTTGGCTTATAAACATGTTTCAACCATTATGTAAGATCCTAGCCGTTGAATAATGTTATAAAAAGTCCAATGATAAATTTGCCCCCAAAGTGCCTATTTTTATTACAAATGGTCCTTGAGATTTGCCAAATTATCACCTTTGGTCCTTTATGTTTTTTTTTTGACATTATTGGTCCCTTATGTTATACTTCACACATCAATTTGGTCCCATTGTCAGGTTCCGTCAAAATTTTCTGTTAGATTGCTGACGGGGATGCCATGTGGATTAAATAATGTTTTAAACATTTTGGGTTTTATTACACATGGTCCCTGAGGTTTGTGAAATTATCACATTTGGTCCTATATGTTTTTTTTCCTGACATTATTGGTCCTTTATATATATTTTTAAATAGTTTAACATTTAAAATCTTTTAGAAAAAATTTAATTAAAAAAAAAGAGAAAATTTTCAAAACATAATTTTTTTTTAAAAAAAAATTCAAATCCACTTGGCATGTTATTATTATTCAAATCCACTTGGCATGTTTTTTATTCATATCCACTTGGCATATTATCACTGTGTCAAATCTGTTAGGTTCTGTTGAAATTTCTGTTAAATTGATGAAAATTTCAACAGAATCTAACGGATTTGACATGACATGTATGTGGAGCCTACATGTCTAATAATAACATGCCAAGTGGATTTGAATTTAAAAAATTTATGTTTTGAAATTTTTCTCTCTTTTGAAATTTTTTTATAAATATTTTAAATGCTAAACTATTTTTTAAAGGGTTTAGGGTTTTTCAACAAAACCTAACGGATTTGACGCGACATGTATGTGGAGCTTACATGTCCATTAATAACATGCCAAGTGGATTTGAATAAAAAAATGTCTATTTTGAAAATTTTCTCTCTTTTTAAAAAACATTTTAAATGTTAAACTATTTTTAAAAAAAAATATATTTCTTCATTTAGATCCACTTGACATTTTCTCATTTGCTATGTGTGCACCACATATGTGTCATGTCAACAATTTAACAAAAAAATTTAACGAAATCTCACGGTGGGATCAAATTGATGTGTGAGGTGTAACATAAGGACCAATAATGTCAGGAAAAAAAATATATAAATGACCAAGGGTGATAATTTCGCAAACCTCAGGGACCATTTGTGATCCCAAAATATTTAAAATATTGTTTAATCCACATCAGCAATCTAACGGAAAATTTTGACGGAACGTGACGGCATGACTAAGTTCATGTGTGATAAGAGACCAATAATGTCAGAAAAAAGCACAAAGGACCAAAGATGATAATTTAGCAAACCTCAAAAACCTTTGTGATAAAAAGCCTAAAATAAATTCAAATGTTGTATACATCAGTACGACTAGTTACATAATTTAATTTGGATCCCATTTCTTCCAAAAACCCCCCAAAAAAAAAGAAGAAGAATTTATTAGGATAACATGACACGAGCTAGTTTGTCAGAACTTCTCATTTTTCTTCAAGTTCATACTTGGGATGTCTTTTTGCAGCAGCTATAGCCTAAAGGTCAACAAAGTCTTACATGCCAGTTGATGATTGCATTAAAAATGACAAAAAAAATCTGAATGTAGGGTATGTATTTCAAAAGCAAAAACCAGCTTTCGGTTCCCTCCGCAAATCACGTTCACCTTTGGCAACTTTACACAAACATCGAAGTAAGGCAAATCATGAAAACAACCCATCTGAAAACACCACCACCCTAAATAATTCATGTAACGAAATGAAGTCATACAAGAAATCAAATATTAATTCTAATAATACAAGACCCCCAACCGCATCCTTTAACTATTTGCTATCAGGTATAGCCCTGTTTGTATTTTCTGAAAAGGTCCTCAGTCTTGGCATTTCTGAAAGCACAACAGCCAATCAAATACACAGAAATTAGAGCAACAAGAGTGATGAGCAATATTATGTCGGTTCTTCTCCATTCTTTCTTGATATTTGCAAGCAAGCCAGCTTTGCAAGAATCGCAGTTGAAGCAAAGTTGGGTCTGGTCATTGCTCCACTGCAGGCAATCCATGTCTGCTGCATTGTTTATGGGACTTATCCAATACGTTGGGTTCACAAAGGTGTAGCCACATTGTGTGGGTGGCTTACAACATCCTGACTGTAAAGCAAGAAAAATAAAAACAGAAGCACCACCACAAGAAATAAAACTTAAAGGTGAGGTTCCTTGGGTAAAAAGAAGAATATTTGACACACATGGTTTTGAAGAATATAATATCTGATGAAAGAGTAAAGTGGGTTGTTTTGCTGAGATGCTAATTTGCTGTTCTATATTATTGAGAGGTTAATCTACGAATATATTTTAAGGGAAAGAATATCTGTAAAAATTCATGATAACATCTGTAATCTAAGAATATATTTTAGATTATTCTTCATTAATTTAAGAAGAAAAAAAAAGTAAAAATATGTATTCACCTAGGGAATTAAATCCTACAAAACTATCCAAATCAATTCTTTTTTTTAAGTACTCCTAAATTTATAGTTCCAAACACTTGGTAATCGGTTTCATTCAGATCTTGTATACATTCAGTCTGAATTAATAACGTTGGAAGAAAAATGATCTAAACATTTGAAGGTGCGATTGAACTATAATATATATAAATATAGTTTTGTTTACCTGTAAGGGGGTAATGCGCGCGTTAAAGAAATCCTGAGCCATGCGATAACTCTGATTCAACTCACCACACATATTTGTTGAGCTGAGACAACTTTTTATGCGGTCCCACTTCCAAGGGCTTCGCACTCTACGGCGAAGCCAGCCTGAGTAGTCATCCAGATGATACTCCAGGTAAGACCGGCTCGGTTCGAGGTGGCCAGAGCCTTTAATGGTGACCATGTAGATGAAGACCACCAAAGCAGCAAGCAAGACTATAAGAACCAGCATGGCAATGAGGTAAGAGATAAGGAGCCATGGGATTCTCCAAAACGCTCCCACAAAGCCTGCAATGCCCACAACCAGGAACAAGATGCCCAAAATTATGACAGGCCATTGTAAAATCTTGACACAAGAATTGTCTGGCTCTGTGGCAAGCCAAATTCCGGCACCAATGATTGGGATGGAGAGGAGCATGGCAACAAAGTTGATGGCTCCGATGACATTGTTGCTAAGTGCCATTTACTTCTTTTTCTTTTCTCTTTTTCTTGAGAGAAGATTATAGGAGGAGCAAATGGCTGTATTTGTATGATAGATTTTGTCTCCAAACCCCACACTTTTTTGTTCCTTGCCTTGGATCCATGTAATGTAAAGCTAATAGTAAAGCAAGTGGTAATAATTTTTTAAAGCGCGTTTTGATGTTCTAGGTCTATTCACGTACTTCGAGTATCACTTTTTTGAAAAAGAATACCTTGTTGTATGTACATGATGAAGATAAGAGAAAGAGACAAGAGATATTAGCTGCAAGCAACTAATTTATGTATCATGGAAAGATTTTGAGGAAAGCAACTGCTTGTACAATATGCTTTTATTGGCACCTGCATGCATCCACATGTAACGGGATCGCTTTCCCCTTGCAATTTTGCTTTGCACAAAACCAACTCATTGGCAAGAAAAATGTACAAAACTTATACAATGTTCATATAGTCTCTCATATAGGCATGCTTATACAATAAACATTGATCTATTGAACTAAACAGAAGCCTTTTGCACTCTTAACTATGTTATACGACAAGCTCTCGTAAGCCTACCATAACTACGGTTGTAAATTGTGTCGACAAAATTCAAGTTCAATTCGTTTTTGGCAATTTTTTTTTTCTTTTTTGAACATGTATAAAACATAAACGAGAAGAATGGGTTCTGATGATGATAAATATTATATGCAAGAATTTTGCTTGGAATGAAATGAAGCATACCGATGTCTTTTGAATAATAAGCTCGAAGCATTAGTTTCTTTTTAAGGTTTTATATTCAATGCATTATGCTTATGTTAAAGTGTTTTTGTGCACCTAAAATAATATATTAATTGGTTCATACTAGGACTGTTTTCTATTCTCAAAATTGGGGGACCAACCTGAGGACTGATTGATATGGACCTGGGTTGATCGGTTAAGCTTTTTGAGTACACTTATGGAAAAGGTGGGTTCCAATAGAGTCACACTTCTCAAATACACACACTGCTCTTATAAGTAACAAAAGTACGTTTGTGACTAAAGTATAATGTTATCAAGTGTTGATTTCTGTAATTTGACAGATTGATTCGAATTCGTTTAACATAAAAGATGCTAACTAGAGATAAGATTCCCCGATAAGTGGGTAATATCTCTATTAAAAATATGATGCACAATATGATAATGTGGTCTTCATATCATTTTTCAACTCAAAATTATGATTTCATGTCAATTTTGAGTCATGTCAAGATTTATCACTTTTACTTGTAGGTGTAAAGTTTCTTTGTCATGCAAGAAAATAAGAATAAAACACTGGAATGAGAGTTTGTAACTCAAGATGTTAAGAATAGTAGTGGGCATGCATAAAGGGCAAATTAGGTAGCTACCCGGCCCAATTTTTTTCCTAAAAAAGAACCTACATATATAATATTAGCCTAGCCCAGCCCAAACATAAGAAAACAAACCTTATCAGCCCAGCCTCTCTCTCTCTCTCTCTCTCTAGCTTTAGTTTCCCATTGTGTGTGTTTTTTTTTAAATTTATTGCTATATGAATTGTAGGGGTGGCATTTTAGACCTAAAAATCGAAAAACTGCAAAAATCAACCAACATTATACCGCATTGGAACCGCAATAGCTAAAAACCGACTGAAAATTTCAGTTTTAGAAACTGATATGCAATTGCGGTTGCGGTTGCTGTATGCGATTTTGGCAACTCGCGATTACCGTAGCAAATATATTTGTTTTAAAATTGCATTTTAGTAGTTAGATATTGTGTTTTAATTTGGTTGAGTTTAATATATTATTAATATGTTTTTATGTTGTTACTTTTGTGTTGTGTTATGTTATAGATGGAGTCTAGCCACTCTAACACACCTAATGCCTCTAATCCCCCAAACACAAACCGATACACCCGAAACATAACCTCCACTCCAACTCATAAATAATGACTTTTTCTTATAATAAAATCCACTCACCACCTACACTTGAGTTCACCTTTTGGTTTGTAACTTTAATTAACTTTGAATTGGAATTTTCTTTAGGTTGTGAATGCTTGAGAAGTTGAGGTTGAGGTTGTGAATTTATGTATGCTTGAGAAGTTGAGGTTGTGAATTTATTTCTTTAGGTTGTGAATTTATATTTTTTGATTAAAGTATGCTTGAACTCAAAAAGCTTCAAAAGAAACATCAAACCTAGGCTTAAAAGTGTGGAAGATTGAATTTTTATGACACAAAAAGACCACACTTAAAGATCTAAAATTGTCTAATTTATGCCCAAAATATTCAAATCGGTTTAAAATGTTAATTTATAGTAATCGACTGATTTTTGCGGTTTCAAAAATCACCTTACCGCAAATAGTCAGTCGGTTTGCAGTTCGGGAAAAATTCGCGGTTACCGAACCGCAACCACCCCTAATGAATTGAGTTTTTTTTATTATTATTTTTACAATTGTTGAGGCCCAAAAAATCCAGGGTTGGACCCAAATAAATTCCCTGCCCAACGCAATGCCTTATTAAGAAAAGACCCAATTTGGAGCACGCGAAAGTTCGTCATTCACGCTCGCACGAGTCATGATTCACGTGCCATACTAAATAAATATGCAATCTATCATGCTAAGAGTTGAAATAAGCATTGGCTTTACGAGCCTAAGCTAATTATCCAGTCAAGCGTCATATCCCTCTTCAAAGCGACAAAATTCAAGCACCCCAAGCGACATGCAATGCCAAGCGGAAAATCATTATTATTACACCTAGCCATGCTACAAGTTTAAGTGGGCCCAAGTCACGCAAAATGCTCGGGGCTTGCTGAGTGGGTTGTGGTATGGATGGTAACGAGCTTTCATGAGGCCTATTGATGAGCCGAGAAATGGAAGTTTTGGGCTGCTTGGGAGCCCTAAAACTCAAGCCCATTTCTTGAGCCCAAATATGTGGGTAAGCATAAAGGAGAGAAATAGCCCAATACTTTAGGAAAAATTAGCCCATCATCTTAATAAAATAGCCTATCACTTTAGGAAATTAGCCCATTCCCTTAATGGGTTAACCCATCACCTTAGGAAGGCCCAAGCAACCAAGCAAAATATCTGCAATCTCCATGACTTAGCTGGAGACAAAAGCCACGACAAAGCCAAAGTAGCCCATGTATGTGAACTATTGGGAGGCTCCAGCACGTGGGCAAAACAAACCACAAGGCAAATCGCTCAAAAAACCAGAGAATATTGGCGCGCGCAAGAGAAAAGGCAGCCTTCAGACCAGCCAAAGTTACCTATCTCCTTCATTTACCAGATCTTGCCATGAAATAGGGGAGGAAAGGAGGAGAGATGATAGCCAAAGATAAGAAATCACCACTGGAATGGCTGCGGGAAGACTTCTGAATTCCCAAAAATTTGGTATTTATGTATTAGGCAAAGGAGGAATTCACAAAAGGGGATGGATCGAAGGAAATGAAAGGGGAGACTTGGCAAAATTGGAGAGAACCCATTAGTGTTTCTTGGGAAGAATGAGCTTCCAATGGCTATAAAAAGGAGGTACCTCCTACCAATTAAACTCAACCAGAGCAGTTGAGCAAGCTTATTCTCTAACTGCTGGAAACATCAAGCCCAAGTGCCTCACCTTTTATCTCATTCTTCTTTATCCTAAGTAACATACATTCAGAGAGCAAGCTTCATCTCTCACCCCTGAAACCTCTGCAATTTCGAGTCTCATTCCTTCATATCTTCCCATTTTCTCTTTTGGTAAATCGTTCCACTGCTTGACAGAGCTTTCGTCAAGCTGCGGGAAACTACTCAACACACCCATTATACTATCATCTCCCTCTCTCTTCAACAAACCTTCTTAGAATCTCCTCCCTCTTTCTTTAGAACCCCTGCTTCTCATAGGAATTCACAACCCTTCTCTCTCTTTGATGCTAAACTCATGATTACTTTACTTCCATGCCACAAACCTCTTATACCAAGCTAAGAAATTATCTGTAAGCGATTGTTAGTTTTGCTGGTGAAGGTAACCAAGGTGCTTCCTAAAGCTCAGCTACCCTTTCGAAACATTCTCGGGGTCTGATTCTTGAACTCAGACCCAGGGGAAATTTTCACACATTTGGCTCTTTACAGCAGCCCAGGCCCACAGTAGATGTCGGAACAAAAAAACCCCTACAATAATTTTTTAGGATTTGAAAATGAGTTGTCTAGCATGGGCTTTGGTCATTTGGTGATAATATTTGTGGTCATTAAAGGTCTTTTTACATATTATTCATAGATTGAAATTTGAAATAATGTTGTTTTGTGTTGCATTGCAACTTTTTGTTTTAGTTTTAGTTTTTTTTTTTTTTTTTTTTTTTTTTTTTTTTTTTTTTTTTAAGCTTTTATTTATTTTTATGTATGTATGTATAGATGTATTTGTATATGAGATCATAATACGTTTCTCATTGTCTAAGTGTATCTTTTTTTGTTTATTAATGCAATTCACTCGTATCGTCGAGTTTTTAATGTAAGTTTTGCTAAGTAAATAGCTTAGTAAATAACAAAATATGGTTAATCGCTTTATTAGTCCTTGAACTTAGACCCGATTTGCATTTGAGTTCCTCAATTTCCAAAATTGTTTCTGTGATTCTTTAACTTCACTTTTGTTAGGACAATTGGTCATGCAATCAATTTTGTTAACTTTTTTTGTTAAATGCAGGGGCAAAATAGTATTTTTATATTAAAACAAAAAATAATAATAATAAATTATATCTTTAAAATAACAATAAAAGAAAATCAAATAAAAAACCAACCAAAAAAAGAAAAAAAGAAGAATCAAGTTTCGGGGGAGTAGAAATCAAGATAGAGGGAGAGAGAGAGTTCAATTTTATTTTTTTATTCATATTTTAATCAATTTAATACAAAAATATAATTTTGCCCCTGTATTTAACAGGATAGTTAATAAAATTGATGATAGAACCATTTGTCTTAATGAAACTGAAGTTGAAGGACCACATAAACGATTTTGGAAATTGAAAGATTCAAATACAAATCGGGTCTAAATTCAGGGACTAATAAATGTAAAGAAATTTTTGAAAAGGACTCTATTATCTCTGCAAGATATAATAAAAAGGTTTTTTAGGTTTTAGACATAAAAAAATTTTTACTTTTGGAAAAAGCCAAAGCTTTTTCAAAAAAGACAAAAAAACCACTAAACTTTCAAATCAAAGACATGCAAATGTATTGGATTCCTTAAGAAATCTAAAAATAAATAAGGGCATTTTTGTCCATTTTCGCTTCTTTTAAAATTTTTCTCTCTCTTTTTGCTTTTTCCAAAATGTCCCAATAAAATGCACTGTCCATCCAGTGTCCACCCGGACCACCCCTTATCCAGTTTCTCCTCTCTGCACAGAACATTCAAAACAATGGCGGCATTTGAAGCTGCACTGTCTGTCTCCTCCCTCTACTCTTCTTCTTTTTCTTCTTATTCCTCTAAATTCTTCGCATCCCCCAAACCATCCACCTCCCTGAAGCTTCATATTTCCAATTCTATCCCTCCTATTTCCCGCAATTTTCTGTATTCTTCTCCCCCATGCATCCTCAACAACCCCGCAAGAAAACCCTTCTTTGAGCTGATGTGCTTTGCGGTACAGGAGGTTACAGCTGAAGAAGAAGCAGTAGAAGAAAAAGCAGAGGAAACCCAAACGCAAAACCTGAAGAGAAAGCTCTACGTTGTGAATTTGCCTTGGTCTCTCACTGTGGTGGATATCAAGAACCTCTTTGGCGAATGTGGGACTGTTACAGATGTTGAGGTTCTTCTTCTTTTGTGGTTCTCCTTAAATTGGTCATGTTTCTGTCTTTATGTGGATTTGTAATTGAAATTTTGGTTATGTATGTTGGATTTTCAGATTATAAAGCAACCAAATGGAAAGAGCAGAGGCTTTGCCTTTGTGACAATGGCTTCTGGGGAAGAAGCTCAGGCTGTCATTGAAAAGTTTCACTCTCATGTGAGTTATTTTGGTATTTGGGTGTTCTGTATTTTATGATTGGAACATTTTAGCTCTGATGAAAGTTTGATTGATACTCAGAGAAAAATAGCATTATAATTTGATATTTAGAATGGGTACATCATTGTTTGTAGGCAGTTCATTTTGATTTGTGACTGTTTCTTCTACGACTAGAGGAAAAATGTTTTCCTCTTTTTCTTTAAATCACCTTGTTATCTGTATTCCATTGTGTTTGTAGGTTTAGCAATAATTTGAATTATGGGGTTCCAAAGTTACTTGTAGTTTTGGGTTCAATAGAAAAAGGGAAGGAACTTTAGGAGATTGAAGTGGCGTGGAATAGATACAAGTTTATCTACTTCAATTGAATTGGCCAAATCAATGAAATTTTTGTTTCTTAGGAATTCGTTTGTTCTTTTTTGTTTTGGTTGTAGTTTCCTTTTTGATTCATTGAATTGTAAATGAGTTTTCTAATGGTTTGGTTTCTATCAAAGTATCTTTATAGAATATTTGCAAATATCTGGTTCTATAGAGAGAGAAATTATCATTCAGATTGAAACAATTAATTACCAGTTGTCCTATTTTACGGAGGCTGGACTATATTGGGTAAATCTTCAGCTTTCTTTTAGTTGCACAGCTGAGGAGGAAAGAAGGCAAAGGTGGTATGGAATTCGGGGTGTTGGCTGTATTTTGGGTTGTTTGGTTAGAAAGAATCAAAAGGATCTTAGAGGGGAGGGGGCAGATGTATAATTTTGGGCTTTGGTTTCTTCGGACTTTCCAGGAATTCCCTTTTTCTGCAATTTTTGCGGATTGGAAAGCTATTCTTATGTAGATATTTTCGTTTATGTTGTATGTCAGCTAGATCTTTTTTGCATTGGGTGTTTAGTATTTGGTTAATATCTTGTTGTCCACAAGGAATATACTTGTATTGACTCAAAAGAATTTTGTTTCTTAGTAAAAGGAATTTCCTATATCTGGAAACATATTTTTTCATCTCAGAGTTATTTGTTTCAGGAGGTATTGGATAGGACTATCAGAATAGAGTTTGCAAAGCAATTTAAGAAACCTTCTCCACCTCCTCCCAACCCCCAAATTGTGGAGACACGCTATAAGCTTTATGTCTCCAATTTGGGATGGAAAGTAAGATCAAGTCATCTCAGAGATTTTGTCTCTGAAAATTTTAAAGTTCCTGTCTCAGCCAGGGTTGTCTTTAGTGGCCCCTCCGGGAAATCTGGTGGATATGGATTTCTTTCTTTTGCTACAAAGGAGGAAGCAGAGTCTGCAATTTCTTCTTTGAATGGGAAGGTTAGAAAAATTTATCAACTTTGTCAATCTTTCTCATTATTTTCTGCTATTACTCTGCTCAAGCTTGGAAGGTATCAGTTCAAATGGATGTGCTTATTTTGCTTCCTACAGTGATATAAATTAGTTTAGTATCTTTATACCTTTCAACAGAAAACTGTTACCTGGACTTTTTAATTGCACACATACATCTATAGGACTCCCTGGGTATATGCAGTTATTCTAGAGAAAACTTTATTGTATGTGCATGCAGTAATTTCACTCTTGGTTCAAGAAGAGGGGTTAAGTATGAAATTGTTGAAGAATGTAAAATCCCACCTTGGAAACTTGACAAAATGAAATACCATATATAAGTTATGGTTTCACTACTAATCACATTGAGATCTTTTGTGATAAAACCCCACAAATGTTGTGCTATGTAGGTTGGGGACAGTATTGGTGTTGGACCAATTAGTAGCAGGCCGGTGGTCAGTCTCTCTGAAATATTAACATGGTTTCAGAGCAGATTGATTGACTGGGCCCAGGTTATTGTGTCTCTACTAAGTTCGCAGGATGAGCACGTGCTCAGCTCGATTTACTGAGCCTGACTAACAAACTACCCTAAGATCACAAACCGATGTGGAATTGGCTGCACATGTGGCCTACTATATTGTGGTCCCACACAAAGAAGTGTGTTGAAGAATGTAAAGTAGTGGGCTGTTGATTTGTCTATTTGAAATCTTAACAGGAATAATATAAGTTGTTTCATAATTGCCACCATCTATGTAAAATTTTCTTTCCATAGTCCATATATGTTTCCAGAAGTGTTCCAGTCATGAATGAAAGCACAAGATTCTAATCATTTGTGTATAATCAGTTGAGAGAGAGAGAGAGAGAGAGAGAGAGAGAGCGCTATTAAAGAACTACATATGTGCAATATATGAATATGTAGTCCAGCATTGTCTTGGGCTTTAGTTAGATTATTCACATATAATTACTTGCATTCTGTTACTAGAAAAGCGTTTTAGACCAAGCAGAAATAAATTACAGTGCATTTGGATGCGAGAATTAAGTAAATGGATAAAGATCTCAAAATAAGTTTACATTGGCTGAAAGAGACATTTGAAATAACTAGATACAATGTGACATTTTTTATTTATAAAAAAAAAAAACAATGTATAATTTAACTATATACTGTTAGCAACAAAAACTTCTCTTTCTTGACTTTCAATACAAATCCAAATATTTATGTGTCATTAACATTACATCTGACTATGATATTAAGTCAAATTCCCACATTTGAAATGGTGCACTACTTTTATTTGACAGGAATTGATGGGCCGGCCACTAAATCTAAAATTTAGTGAGAAAAATGTCAGTGACTCTGGAAGCCAAAAGGATGAGGAAGAAAAATTTGAGGGTCAACCAGAAGAGTTGTAAGTCCACAGACAGTCTTTAACCAAATTGATCTATTTTTATTGCAGATTATAAGTGGAATCTTGGGAAAGCAGAAATTTTGACCTCAACCACCCATGTAGAGAGGGACAGTGTCCTCCTGTTGTCTGTAAATTTGCATTAGTGTCTCCTTTTGTTATTTATCTTTTCAGTTCTTAGAGCAGTTGTTGTTTTCTCTGTCTTGCTAAAACAACTGTTGACATACATATTACTGTATTGTTCCAGATAGAGAGAGCAATTATATATTCTATATGATTACTCAATGGAAGCCTCTTTTACAACATTACAAATAAATATTATGCTTTTGAAGCATCCCTGTGCTGCTCATAAGTCATAATATTTAATGCTTCACCATCCTAATACATAAGCACATATTACTTGTTGACTTGTTACATCACCCTACTAATGCAGTCAACTAGGTTGTAACTAATAGAAGCTTATGCCCTTGAAGCATATAGAGAGGGAGGGATGGAGATTGAGAGATTTTTTTTTTTTTTTTTTTTTTTTTTTTTTTTTTTTTTTGTTTTTGGTCGAAAGAACAGCCTGGATAGCTTAAGCCCACACAATGGAGGCGTTTGCTGAAGTGTTAATTTCTTAGGATCTTATTGCTAATAAATTCAAACCATGGTGTTAAACACAGACTTGAAACTCATTGCTTTCATAGTAAGTTACCATGGACTTTAAGCCCTTGCATTTTCTAATAGTTGTACACATTTTCACTTATCATAAATAAGTATGACCGCATCACTTCGTGTTATGAACAAGTTTCGTATTTTTCCCGGAGGTCAATGCTATTGTGGCTTCATGTCAATTTCGTAGAGAATAATCAAGCTACTAAATATGCTGGAAGTAATATTAACTCCAAAGAGGACATCAAATTTTCAATACCATCAAATGTTATTCAGCAGATTATCTCTCATTTCTTTGTTTTGGAATACTTAAAAGAAAGAGGAATAGTTAGATTCTCAATTGAATAAATCTTATGCAATGGTGTTGTGCTTTCTAAATTACACATGCTATATTTCCTTCAGACTTTGGTTTTGTTTTGTTATATTTATTTATTTAAATTTTGGCGCTAATCATATATATATAAAAGTTGATCCTTTGTTGAGGCAGCTTCTTTGGAGTCTAGGCCAACAGTTGATTAGTGAATACATTTTGTGGATAATACACAAAATATGTATATGTTCAATAACTTTAGATATTAGAAGATGTCTGTCTGCACACATGGGTGTGTGTTTTTGTACATGTGCTTGTGCTGTGTTATTTGTCTTGTTTGGACAGGAGGTAGGTGTTGAGATTTTGTAAATAAATAAATCTTTTGTTCTTGCTGTTTTCTTCTTGAGGAGGGTTTGATTGATGAAAAATGTGGTCGGAAACTGCAGGGTTGATGAGCACTGAAATTGGCTAGGGTAAACTTATAGTAGCCATACGTAGGCAGGAGCATAGCTTATTATAAACTAGTTGATGCTCCCTTTTCAAGTCAAAGTTGTTCATATATTGATGAGCTTGATTTTGGCCTTCAAGTATTTGTTGACATTGCTCTTATACAAGTGATCTTGATATTATGCTGTGTGTGTCTACTAGGATATGAAGAAACTTATAAATTTTTCAGTAAAAAATTGCTCATATTTAACAAGAAAGGAATACAATAAGCCAAGTGATCTATATGGGCTGACCATTTTCAGGTAAGCACATTTAAAGAACGTGGAGAGCTGGAATTACTTCAATAGACTTAATCTCAAACAATATCTGTTACCTGTCTTTGCCTCATTTTCTTTCTTGCTCTTTTTCTCTCTTCAAATAATAAATGCTGAATAAGTTATTTATGTTGATTTGAATGAGCAAAACTGATCAAATATTCTGATAAAATTCATGATCACTGAGAGGATGGAAATGGAGAAACTTGTGTTACAGCAGCTTTTGCTGCTTTTTGTGTTTTTTTCCTTTTTCATACTATAGAAAATCATAGTGTGTTCTGAGTAAGAGCTAGTTATTGTCAATAACTGTTATAACTGGATATATTTCCTGTTTTATTTCTTGCTTTGAGTAATTTAGATATTCTTTTTTCTTTTGTCCTATGAAATTAAGTGGTGTTGGGAGCAAGAACTTCTTGGCTTTCCCGTGTGTTTGCCACTTTCCCTTGGGAAAAGGTGGAAGGAGAAGATGGCGCATAAACCAGGAAGTACTTTGTTTAAGTCTGGGTGGATTTAGTCATGCGTTATGGGCTCACTGGAAAATGAAGGGAACTAGGTTCTAAACTTGATTATAAAAAAACACTAATACATTAAACTCTTGAATGTACAAATATTGTTAGTTTTTGTATTTTCTTGGGCCGTTCTCCATTTATCATGTGCGTAACATGCATTACATGTGTGTACTGTGTACATATGCGTATACGGATGGATGCACATGAAATGTGTATTTTCTTGTTTGTTCATATGCATAACTATATTCAGCTTACATATACAGATTTATTTTTACCGTTTCTTATTGTGTTGAAGGTCATCTTGTTAGAAATCTTTAGTTTCTAATTTTTTTTTGGGTGAGGGGGGGTGGGTGGGAAGGGTAGTCATATATTTTTGTCTTTCTACAAGTGAGTTATATGCCATCAGAATCATTAAAATTCTATCGAAAAAGCATGTCAAATGTTATTCTTTGATACTTTATATTTTCTTGCACCAAAATTCTATTAGTTGGTTGGAATCAAAATTCTTCTCTTCCATCACCCTCCCCACTCCTCTCACAAAGCTGGTGTTTGGAGAATTTTACTGCTGAAACTTTTCTGACATTGGAATCACTTTTGATGATATCCTCATTTCTAGGCAATTGTGGGAAGATTTAATATACAAAAATACAACTTGGTTCTTTAAATTTCAACTTATATATGTATGATGGTATAAATGATTGGCGTGACTTTGGAGAAGAGATCACTGAGTAGGTCTAAAGAAATGAAAGGGTGGTCCAGAGTTTAAAGGAAGTTGTTTAGCAGAGAGAGAATTCTATACTTCTTACTTTTTTTTAATTGTCTCAGTGCTTAGGGTACCTTAATTTAGTGTGTCAAATCTTTAAGTTTTCCACTCCATCTTCACATGGGAAATATTCATTTTGGAGAAAGCAAAGTTTCCAAAGGTTGGGAAGAAGTTTGTTAGAGAGAGAAGTCTTAGTTCTTAAGGCTCCTGACAGAAGACAGCTTCTTGGTTATCTGAAGTTGCCTTTTAATTCAATGACATAACATTTCCTTTAGTTTTTGACTTCACCTTTACCATTTTGCTTGACCAATATTCTGGGTTTTAGGAATTTCAAAATCATGCTTTGTTTGTTCTCTTTATGAAAGTAGATTATTAGTCCAACAGTTGATTTGTTGGGAAGAGATGCTGGTCCCTACAACACTCTTTAAGCGAATATATGCTCATCTCAAAACGAATCTGAAGGCCCCATTTTCTGAGACCCACATTTTCATTTTTATGCATTTGGAACAGAAAATGGAGCACTACATTTTTCTCTCTCCTTTTCTTTTCTTTATTTATGCAACATAGAAAGGTTAAGCCATCAGGGATACACATGGTGTTTTTGGTCTAAAGTGGATACTGTGTTGATCAATTTTTGTCACAGATTGACTGACTGAGAACACTAGTTTGTGCATATAACTCGCAGGAAAAAATAAATTACAAAGACAAAAGAGCACTTGTGAGTTTGATATGAGTAAAACTCTCGTTCCTACGTTTTATACACCTTTCTCTCTATCTCTCTCATCACATCTCAGCGAAAGGTGTATGAAACATGACTAGGCAAGTTTTTTCGGTTTGGTACATCCATCTTGGCGGCTCTTATTTTAGTTTGGGTACAATTTAATGTAAAAGAAAAGAGCACCACGCAATATGCTCGCTTGCAGCTACAACAGTCTTGGCCAACAATAAAAGGATTCATTACTTTAGTGAGCTCCCAACCAACACCAGAACGTTAGTCAACAACATTATCTCCCGAAAAGATAGAAAAAGAAAAAGAGAATGAATATGTAAGGAAAGAAAAGTAATTAAAATGAAAAAAATAAAAAAGAAAGCAAAAAAGAACACACAGCAGCAGCATCCTGCAGTCTTTGCTTTGCTCTGCTTTCCATGTAAGCTGCTTTGGCCTCCCAACCCATCTTGTCTCTTCAATCAAATTTATATTGCCCAAACTCTGTTATTGTACTTGCTGTTCTTGCCTTCAAAACTCTGCAGAATCTGAAAAATTCAGTGTCTTAGATTTTGCTCATGTGTTCTTGAACCTTGATCATTGTTGGGAAGAAAAAATCCCCAAGCCATCCAATCCAAATACCAATCTTCAGGTAAACTTTTGTTTCTATTTAGTCTTTGTGTTAATGTCTAGGGCAAATTGTATTGAATGATTTGTCCTACTGTCTGAAAATTACATTTCTCTCTCTGAAAAAAGTGAACCAGAGGGAAGAAAGAAAAATATGATATTGAGAATATCAGCAAAATAGAAATTTTCTGTGGGTGGTTTTAGAATTTAGATTAGTGATGGGGTCTCTAGGAGGCAGCCCAAAAACTTGGATACCATATATGAACACCAAAGACTGTTCTCAAGGGTTTTGCAGTTTGTACTGTCCACAATGGTGTTATAGGATAATACCTCCTCCACCTGTCCTTGAGTTTCCTGAAGACAATTCATCTTCCCCAAGTTTCTCTCCTCTTGTTATTGCAATTATCGGCATTTTGGTGAGTGCTTTTCTTCTTGTTAGCTACTACACCATAATATCCAAGTACTGCGGCAAAGTGGACCGGAGGAGAGCAAGAAGAGAAGATCAGGAGCAGAATGAGGAGATGGAGGACCCTCACAATCCCATCCATGAACCCTGGCATGTTGTGACAGCTGGCTTAGACGAGGCTCTGATCAAGTCATTAACAGTTTGTAAGTACAAGAAAGGAGATGGATTTGTTGAAGGAACAGATTGCTCAGTTTGTCTGAGTGAGTTTGAAGAAGATGAGAGGCTTAGGCTGTTGCCTAAGTGCAACCATGCTTTCCATCTCCCATGCATTGATACATGGCTTAAATCTCACTCAAATTGCCCGTTGTGTCGTGCCAACATAGTTCCTCATCAGTTGCCTCACCCTGCCGTGATTGAAACTCCATCATCAACCAATCATGATGCATCATCCATGGCTGAAAGCCAACCAGCATATGATCAAAATGTTGTCATGGCACAAACTTCCGAAAGGAGTCCTTCTCAAAATGAGGAATCAATGCAAGGAGATCATGAAGGGTATCATCAAGCAATTAGAAGGTCGGTTTCCATGGACGATTGGCGTCAGAATAATCGAGTTTTAGTAGCTGATATTCTGAGCAGGAATGATGAAGAGGATGAGGAGGACGATATGAACTCAGAGTCAGATGATATTGCTGAAGGAGTTGGCAAATCTAGCAATAGAAAAGGGGTGCTCCTGCATTGTGTTATGAGTCCTGTTGCAATGAAGAGATCATTTTCAAGTGGAAGATTCTTTCCCACCAGGCCTTCAAGAGCACGGAATACAGTACTTCCAGTCTAGAAAACTTTTTGTATTTTGGTTTCTTTTGGGGAATGTGGATTAAGCTGGCAAATCAAACAGTTTGGACCGGATTAATTAGCTATTACAATTATTTGTTCATGATCCATTAATGAGTGATTTGTAATTCTCTACCAATCGAAAAGTATAGTATACAACTAGTGTATAAAACATCCTTTTTAGGTACTAAAACCAACGTATGAAGGTCGTTCTTGTCAAAAGGGCATTGTATACACATGTTGTATTCTAAAATCTCTCCCTTTAATATATTGTTTCTTTGGAGTCAGTTTTAATTATTTTTGTTACCCATGGGATTGTACTCGATAAATTTTGGATTTGCATGTTCAAATTTTATAAATAGTCATTTTGACAGAGTGATTTCAAATTTAGAATTTTTTTTTTTTTGAAATGTCAAATTTAGAGAAGTTAAATTGTTTATTTAAACTATCAAGATTCAGAGGCCTTAATCTATACCAAGATTTGAATTAAAAAAAATTCAAATGAATGATTTTTTTTGCATTTTATTTATTTATTTCATTTTTGGCCAGCATAATTCCTTAGGCTTTTTATTTTTTTATTTTTTTTAGTACAAGTGTTTGGGGGATGGGGATTTACACAAATATTCATTAGGAGTCTGGGAGTTTCGAACCTACGCATATGGGTGGAGGTCGAAGAGCTTAACCAACTGAGCTATACCCCACTAACCTTAATCTTAAATCTTAACAAATGCCCCTTTGACAACAAATGAAAAAATGAAAAAATAAAAAAAGATTTCAAATGAATCATTTTTTGATTTAAACTTAGTTATTTCATTTTTGGCCAACATAATTGCTTAGCCTTAAATCCTAACAAATGTTCCCTTGCCAACAAAAAACAGTTACACACCTCAACTTCTATTTTCATATATTAAATCCAGAAGTACGGTTTGATCAAAATAGAATAGCCATGGATTCACGGCTCACTACTACCAACATCAATATTGTCTTCAACTTAACAATCTATGTAATTCGGTAGGTGTGTGATTTTATACAAAAATTCTGGATATTATTAATAGTGGAACCATTCATTGTATGTTGTATTATTTTGTCAAAATTTTGATGTGGGACTCATATTCTTCAACACACTCCCCCATACATGCAACAAATTCCACATCGTAGGCCTTCTCTCACTAGTTATTTGAGGTGATTTTTCTGAGCAAAAAAATCGTATGTGAAATGGACGTGCGCCCCATGGAAGGCACAATATTTTATGATAACTCTCTTGGTTGGATTTCCCTTCAAAGGTAGTGGTCTCTTCACTTATGGCTTGTCTTTTACTTGGGCTAGGATTTGATGTATGGGGATAGAGAACTTAGTGTAGTTCTCATCTGTTATAGCGTCTCCCTGGGGTTGCGACATGCGCTTGGTACTTCTCTCGGTAGGTGGCTCGGCCTGCTTGGTAGAATTTTTCGTGGAAATTCAATCGTCATCCCAGAGCGCGTAGCGTTTCACAGTCGCGAAGATGTCTGCTAAAGTCAACAGTCAGCTCACGGTATAAGTTGTGCTCTATTGGCAAGCCTTTCTTGAAGGTAGAGGATGCGATTCGGTCATTGCAACCTACGATGTTAGCCTTTTTCTACATTGAATGTCTTGATGTAGTCTTTAAGGGACTCATCATGCTTTTTGTGCAAGTTGAACATATGGTCAAAGTTCTTTTTGATCGTCCGATAAAAAGTGTACTTTTTGGTGAAGATGAATGTTACCTCCTTGAAGTTGTTGGTTGATCGGGATGGTAGGGTATGAAACCAATCATGGGATGCTCCTTGTAAGGTCATGATAAACACCATGCACATCAGCACATCTTTGGCCTTGTAAATAATCATAACACTTTTGAGGTGCTTCAGATAGCTCTCGGGATCATAATTCTCTTTGAAATGTGTGAAACAAGGTGTTGAGAATCGCTTTGGTGGAGCCGCTTGTTCGATCTCAACTGTGAATAGTGAGGAGTTCACTAGGTCCACCTCCTTGTGCAGAGCATCTTCGAAATCTCCTCCGATCTTTAAGTCTCGAAGTCGGTCATTCAAGAGCTTCTCGACATCTTCTACGCACATGGTCTGCGGTTCACGTCTGTATCCTCTATGGTTCAGGCGTCGTTGGTTTACCTTCTCGTTGTCTCTACAAGGCAGATCTCTTCGACTGTCCTGCTTGTGTGGCGTGTTGGTAGACTGAGCTTGCGAGGAAATCTCTATAGCTTGTCATCGAGAGTTGGCTCCTTAAGACCAAGCATGTATGAGGTTTTTTTCTTGTATTTCATGGGGTTGATCGTGAGGTTGATCTTCTCAGAGGCCTAATTTCACGGCCCAGGCGGGCATGAACATCGGGTTGTGGGCCGAACCTCTCATGCACATTGATTCTTGGACCTAATATCGATCGAAGACTCAATCTGCTTTGAGCATGGCTTGCGGATGCTTGGGCCATGCCAACGTGCTAAGCACCACACTCTTGTCTTCTCATTGTCTGCTTGCTCCTCTCGAACTGTCTGTGGGTGCATTCATCCATCCTTCTCTCTTCGCATTGTGGTCCAAGGGTAAGTTCTCAGACCAAGTCAATTTGGTTGAGGAGCTATCCAACCAAATTGTTTTTGTCGTCCACTATCTGAGTGAGTTGGTCAACTCTAAGATTGAGGTTTGCTTGTCTTTGTGGATCAGGAGGAGAGAATTGTGTGGAACCCAATTGCACACATGCTAGGGTTTCATTGGAGGTGTACACCGAAGTGTACGTCGAGTGTGAAGGAAAATGATGAAATGGTTGTACTTGTTCCATGATAGGACCATGACTTGCATCTACGGCGGCACCCAGATGGTGCTCCAAGAATCCGGTTGTGAAGCCATATGAACCTTCTTAGAATCCCTTCCCCCTTGCTTTGAACCTCTGTTTCTCATAGGAAATCACAACTTTCTCTCTTTCATGTTAAACTTGTGAGTGCTCAGCTCCTATGCCACAAGCTTCTCATGTCAAGCCCAAGAATTTATCTGTAAACAACTGTTGATTTCATTGGTGAAGAAGACCAAGGTGTTTCCTAAGGCTCAGCTACCCTTTCGAAACACTCTTGGGGCCTAATCCTTGAATTCATACTCAAGAGGCAATTTCATACATGTTTCTCTTTTCGGCAACCCAAGCCCATTCGTCAGGCTATTTGTGAACAAGGGAAAATGAATGTCTTTGTGATTATTATTGAAAGGTTGAATATTGCAGGAGTTGGTAAATTCAAGATCGGTCGGATTATGTTTTATTGTGAGAGAGGTGGCCAATTTAGGAAGAAAAAAATTGTGGAATCAGGTAGCAAGACAACACATAAGGTTGATCAAAGTTCAAACCCTCAGAAGAAAAAAAGTGTGAAGTCTACTAGTACAAAGAAGTGTGGTTGCCCTTTTTCATTGAAGGGGGTTAACAGTGGTCCTGGAGATGCATGGCAACTTCAAGTTATATGTGGAGTTCATAACCATCCTGCAACACTAAATATGGAAGGGCATTCATATGCAAGTAGATTAACTGTGGAAGAGGATTTACTAGTGGTTGACATATCTAAGAGTTTGGCTAGGCCAAAGGATATAGTATTTAATCTTAAATGTAGAAATTGGTAATAGCATGCGTACATTTGGAACATCATGGGACAAAATTCATCATTTAATAGAACTGCAATACACTGATATAAAGGCATCATTTGAGAAGAGTTTGTCATTTGTGAACATGACTGCAGGAAAGAAGAATTCAAGGAGTTGATTGGTTTTGTATCTATTTTTGCGTTGGATAATATTATGGTTGAGCTAAAACAGTTAGATTATATTGGGGTTGATCCAATATCATGTGGATGCATAATAAAACACACACAGAGATTGCCATGTGCACACGAGATGCAAGAGTTCAAACGGACATGTCGAACGTCCATAAAATCATCTTAAAACAAATTCAAATGTTAAAAACAACAATTGAGGTCGAATCCAATACCCAAAACTCAAATAGAATTCAGAATCACCAATCCAAATAGGCCTATAAATAAAGCTCAGGCCCGTAAAATTCAAATAGATTTTATTTCAAAAGCAATAACCAGCAAAGCACGTTCACCTTAAATAATTCATTAAATTAACCCATCTGAAAACACCACAACCCTAAATAATTCATGTAACCAAGTGAAGTTAAACAAGAGAAACATGAAAGAAACCCAAATATTCTACTAATAATACAAGTGATAGTTTAAATTACTCTAATCTACTAGAATGAGCATGGCAAAATGTTCACCTTTAATAATTATTTTCTTCTTGTTGGCTTGTCAATATTCTTGATGCAGATGCTTATGTTTCTTTGTGAATTTGAATAAAATTCCTCTCTCTTGGCAAAACCCTGGCTCTGAAGGATGGAAAAATGACGTCATTCATGAAGGGATTTTATTCTTTTCTTTTTAGATACAAGCAATATTCTACTATCTCTTAAGCATGTAAAAGAGAAGCGGATTTGTCACTATCTCCTCTCACATGTTGACAACGAAATTTATAATCACAAAATAATTATTAAAAGTAGAGAAAGAGTGTGTACCACCACAATAGGCTTTTGAGCCTCTTCCCAAAATCGAAAAATCCTACCCGCTCGCAATTATCAGCATTAATTGTATTCCCAAAAATTAAATTGATCTCCTGCATTCTTTTTCTTTTTCTGTCTCGATCATTTTGGGAACTCAACCGGATATCCCCTCCCCCGTTTGAAGGAACAGGGGGTACCTTGCTTAGCATATATTCATGAATCTGCGAAATTAATATCATCCTTTAGTAAAGCTTTCATCATGAAATGTTAGTGGATGTTAGTTGCAAAGAAACTTCGTGTAAGTATTGTACCTCATTAATTAACTTCTGACGTTCATCAGTGCCATATCTTGGGGCTGCTAAACGAGATTTGATAGCCAGGACACGCCTTTCTTCCTTATCGTATTCTACTGAACCCAACGCACCATCTGGGTAGGTGGGCAATAACTCAATAAGTCTAAGTAAAGCATCTCGCACTGCCAACAGCAACAGTACATTAACACGATGGGCACGCAGTGAAGACAAGTTATAATAGTGAGGCTAAAACCATATCCATTAGCAAAAGCATTTTGGTTTACTGAGAGTAGAAGAATAGCTTGTGCTTTGGTGGATTATGTGTGTCTTCTTCTTTAGCAGTTGAGTGAGTGTTTTAATACATGTATTCTAACATTATATACTAGCATACATAATGTCTCAGAAATAATGAAATGTACCTCTTTTGCGTTTATTGGGTGGATCCCAAAAAATAGAAATGCTGAAATAATCGATATTGGTTTGGGTTTTGAAGCGACCATTTTCCTGCAAGTAAAGTATACACATCATGACTGTGATAATTTAAAAAAGAAAAAAGACCCAAGTAGCAAAAGAGTCCATAAACCTCAAAAAGCAATAACATATGATATATTACCGTCAACAACGTGATTATAGGAGGCTTGTCTGGGTATTCCGCCGGAATCTTGATCTGGCCATGATAAATCCCACCCGCGAATTCAGTTCCATTAGGGCCTCTGATTGCAAATTGCCAGTCCCGTGGGTTCGACTGAAAACAAATTTTCAATTATGTGTCAAATTACCATTTTGGCCAAACAACAAACCCAATTTCAGTAGCCAGAAAGTCACAAAAAAAATGAAGCGACAAATTATGCCCTTGTCTTTTTAGTTCTTCCAAAAAACAGAAAAAAGAAAAAGAAAAAAAAAGGCTTTTAAAGTTTTTTGAAAATGACCAAAAAATTATCTTAAAACAAAATCGAATGCTAAAAACAATAATTGAGGTCGAACCCAATACCCAAAGAACAAGAATATTTATAAATAATAAAAACGAAAGGGGTATTGGAAAAGTAAACGTAACCTTTAGCGCCAGGCATTTGAAATCGTCGGAGGGATTGGATTGCATCTCCTCCAACTCCAATTTAATCATCCTCGCCAGTGATTTTTTCTCCTCCTCTATGCACCCATCCAACATCTCTTCCCATTTACTATACGATTCCATTTGATTTTGTTCGATCTGCGCCGATCCGCAACCACTTCTTCCGGTATTAGAACTTTAAAATACGAAGCGGAGAGAGGAAATAGAGGAGGAGGTGTTTATAGGCGTGAGAGAGAGAGAGAGAGAGAGAGAGAGCATTCGTTGATTTTTGTTTGTTCTTCATGTCTTTTTGCAGCAGATACTAAAACCCTAAGTCTTACCTGCACAGCTGACTTTTGCATCACAAATGAAAAAAAAGAAGGGTTTTTTTATTTTTAATTTTTAATACTACTTTACTCTAATCTACTAGAATGAGGATTTGAACTTGGGTAAAAGGAGGCCGGCTCAATCCACGCTGCGAACCCCAAGCATCCTTAGCTATTACCATTAGGTACAGCCCTATTTGTAGTTTCTGAAGAGTGATGAGCAATATTATGTCGGTTCTTCTCCATTCTTCCTTCAAGTTGAAGCAAAGTTGGGTCTGGTCATTGCTTCGCTGCAGGCAATCCATGTCTGCAACAAAGAAAGGGTATCCAAAGCAATTCTTTTTTAAAGTAAATTTAAGACATTTGGTATAATGGGCTTCATTTAGATCATCTTGTATACATTCAGTCTGTGTAAGGATTATATTTTGGCTCTTTTCTTATGAAAAAATCAATGTATTTTGTTGAGGTTTATATATTGGTTTAAGTATGTTTGAATGCGCATGCTAGATTTAAAGGTGTCATCTTTGAAATCCAAATTTAAATTCATTGAATACTTTCACATGGGACAGGACTGATACAAGCCTTAAATTCGTTTTTGTTATCAATCCTTTCTAGTCTGTTTGCGAATACACATGGATTGATATAACCTTTAAAAACGGGTTCTCCTTTCTTTTGTTTCATTCTTCATGTTCTGTTTCAATCCAGTTTGAGCTGTGTCAATTAATATATTATTAAAATATCTTCATCTCTTGATTTCCTCCGATGAAGACTTCAAATATCTTCTGATCAGTTTAAACTTGTTGAAACTATTGTTCTTCTCAAAAAGACCACTTTGGAATTTAATATCTTCTTGTCGGAAAATATGGTTTAAGCTTTTTATATTATTAAACTTCTCTTTTATTTCATGGCTCCATGTTCCAACGAGTGTTTTTCTCAAGCATGCAGATATTATCTTCTCATTTATTCTTCTTGAGGACAACACCTTAGTTATTATAATATATTATAAGTAAATTTAGGTTTTAGCCATAAAAAAAAACTTATATTATATTGCTTTTTTCTTGAAACTAGTTTTCAAAAGCCAGAGGCTTGGTTAGATAGAGCTACCCTGCGTGCCTGTTGACCATGCGTGGCTTATGATGGCCTCATTGGATAGCCAATAGTTTGGAGTTTATATCAATATGCTGTCTTGGGCTTTTCGGATATTTTAGCCATCAGACAAACATGGTTTATATTATATATAATATGTGGTAATGAATTCTCAACCTAAATATCTCTTCATTGAAACTTGTTTTCAGCAATCAATCAACCAATCATGATGCATCATCCATGGCTGAAAAGCCAACCAGCAAATGATCAAAATGTGGAATCAATGCATGGAGATCATGTCATTCCAAAGACATCATCGGTACATGCTTGTAGTGATTTGGGAAATTCAAATGAGAGAGATAGCACCATAATTGAGATTGGAGGAGATCATGAAGGGTATCATCAAACAATTAGAAGGTCGGTTTCCATGAATGATCGTCAGAATCATCGAGTTTTAGTCGCTGATATTCTGAGCAGGAATGATGAAGAAGACAAGGAGGACGATATGAACTCAGAGTCAGATGATATTGTTGAAGGAGTTGGCAAATCTAGCCATAGAAAATGGGTGCTCCTGCATTGTGTTATGAGTTCTGTTGCAATGAAGAGATCATTCTCAAGTGCAAGATTCTTTCCCACTAGACCTTCAAGAGCTCGAAATACAGTACTTCCAGTCTAGGAAACTCATTTTTTATTTTTCTTTGGGAGAACATGGATTAAGCTGGCAAATAAAAGATTTTGGTCATGATCCATTAATGAGTGAGTCTTCTCTACCATACCAATCGAGAATTATAGTATACAACTAGTGTATAGAACATCATTTGGCAGGTGAGTGAGTGTTCTAAGAAAAGCTTGTGTTTTGGTGGATTATGTGCGTCTTCTTCTTTAGCAGGTGAGTGAGTGTTTTAAGAGATGTATTCTAACAGTATATACTAGAGTACATAATGTCTCAAAAAGAATGAAATGAATGGCTCCCCAAAAATAGGGTCCAAATTGATCTCGGTTTTTAAAGCGACCATTTTCCTATAAGTAAAGTAAACACATCACGACTGTCATAATTTAAAAAAGAAAAAGAAAGAAAAAAGAAACTAACTCAAGTAGCAAAAGAGCCCATAAACCTCAAAAGGCAAGAACGTATATTACCGTCAACAACGTGAATTTAGGATGTTTGTTTGGGTATTCCACCGGAAACTGGATCCGGCCATGATAAATTCCACCCTGGAAATTCAGTTCCATTAGGGCCTCTGATTGCAAATTGCCAGTCATATGGGTTTCCCTGAAAACAAATATCAATGAGCTACCAAAACAAAACCTTCAGATATCGATAGATTGATAATTAGCATTTTGGCCAAACAACATGCCCAATTTCAATAGCCAGACAGCGAACAAATTTGAAAATAACTATAAAATTATCTTAACAATAATTCGAATGCTAAAAACACCAATTGAGGTCGAACCCAATACTCAAAATTCAAATAGAATTCAAAATCACCAATCCAAGTTCTTAACTTATCCTTCAAAATGAAATTAAACCAAAAGTCAAAGAAGAATAATATTTATAAAAAAAAGGGGTATTCGAAAAGTAAACGTAACCGGGAGCGAGAGGCACTCGAAATCGTCGGAGTGATTGGATTGCATCTCCTCCAACTCCTGTTGAATTCTCGCTGCCACTGAGTTACAGGGGTAGCGCGATGTGTTATTAAAAAATTACTTGAATTCGATATCATTTGACCATTCAATTGAGTTATTGAAATTTTAGTACTTTCTTGAAGCACCGTGTTCATTGATTTTGTAGAACACAATTGGATGTCGAAACGGTTTCCGATTTGTCTAATTTTTTGTAAGGATGATCTATGAATGAAGACCTAAAAAATAGATAGTTTGGATCATTGGAAAAAAAATTGTAGGGTACCCTAATGGGAGTCCCTAAAATAAAATTATTTGAGGGATCTCTCAATGATAAGGGACTGTATATATATATATATATATATATATATATGGCATATTTACAAAAGGATGAATTTTATTTAGATAAATCTTTCTCCTATTGAGATAAATCAATAAATAAAAAAATTTATTAAACTTTGACAGTTAGAGCTAAAGACTTTACCCTTGCTATATGCGTATTGGCGATAAGATCGACTTTGGCATTACAAAATAAGAGGCAGCAAATATCTATTGGGGACCGACTAGAGCTAAGTTTTTAGATATATCCCTTTTTTTTTCCCTTTTTCTTTTTTTTTGGGGACAGACTGCTAGGATACTTTATTAAACATAAAACTGGCTTTGCACTATGTTCTGTTTCAACTTCAGAAAAATAATATATCCTTATTAATGTAAGGTATATCATCACCATTCTTCTTAACAATTAACATTTTGTCACATCTTAACAATACAAGACTAAGGCCGTCGCCTTTATAAGAAATGTCCCGACATACTTATTATTTTACATATGAAATAAATGGAACGGAATTATAGTAATATCATATTATATTATTAATTATTCATTATAAGAGACCTACAAGCCTGGATCATTGCTGTATGGGCTCTTATTTTCGTACATCACACACATTTTTTGAGAAAAAGCTACAGTATTTATTGATGAAACAGAACATAGTACAAAGCCACATAAATGCCGAAATGGGTACAACATCTCTAGTGACCAAACACACCAACATATTGACTTGATATGAAGAGGATTACACCTAAACTTGAACCATGGGAGAACAGAATATTGTTTTACTTTTAATTGAGCATTTCCTTCTCAATCAATTGGTTGGTTCAGCTTCTTCTTCTCCCAAACCATGGGAAGCAACAACAGGTGGAGCCATCATCGGTTCTGGTGTTGCCAAAGTTGTGAAGCCCAACATTCTTGGCTTGTGCACCTGCAGAAATTTTATTGTCAATAATGTCGTAACCAGCACCTTGGCGTGCACCTGGACCACTGGCATTGTCAAAGTCTGACATCCCAATATTTTCACCACCGTCGCCTGCCTGGATATCAAGTCCAAAAATCTGCCTCCTGCTGCTGCCGCCTTCTCCTTGATCGTGACTAGCCATATGCACTTGAATTAAGAGTTTAAGAGCCAGATGGAAGTATCAGTCTTTCCCTGCCCTCTCCCTTATAAAGCTAGATAAAAGTTCAAGTGCTCAGTAGCAAGTTTGATTGTCAAGTAAAAGTGGGCTTGGTGACGAAGAAAAGACTACACATTGTATATTTAATATTACAAAAAATTTGACTTTTCTCCCCAAATTCATTTTCTTTTTCATGCAATCCATCAATTTTTTTTCAGGTCTAAAACCTAGTTACTAGGGTAAAGGGTTTGTAATTCAAATTTTTTATATAATAATATTTACTATTAGAGGCCATAGGTTCGATATCCTCTTTTTTCTAATATTATTTTTATTAAAACAAAACAAAAAAATAAAAAACATTGGCTAGAATCCAACTAAATAAATTACCTAATAAAACTTGATGTGTCAGATTTTTTTTAGTGTTTAGATCCTAAAATACCCCCACTTTTGTGATGAATTTATTTCCAACATGTTTTGTGCAATTCAATTGCCATTAGTGTATGTGCGTTCCCTTAAGTCTTTTTAATTTGAAATGGTAATTTATAAATTTCCATTAGTGTATTTTGCGTTTTTTATTTCTTGGTGAAAGAGTACGATGCATTTGATGGCTAGATTTTTTTTTTAATTTAATTGTTTTAATTTTTATTATTATTATACAAATGTATAGAAATTAAGGTGCAACTGAATCCAAATAATATTCTAATATTATGAAGGTTATTTTAGTATTTTGAAACATGAGGGGATGTTTGTGTAATTTCTAAAACCTCAAGGAGTTATGTATAAACACAAAAAACCTCAGGGGGTATTAGTGTAAATAACTCATAATAATTTACCAATTAGCCTTATGAACAATAATTTAAATATTATCCTGTATGAATAATAATTTATCTAGCATTTATCTCCTATATATGGATCATAATGTACGTGTTAGGTGAATTGTCAAACATATAGGTACACTAAACTAGTCTCAAAATTCATAATGTACGTGTTATATATATTTGCTTCTTGTTTATTCTCACCCCCTCATCAAAATTGAATTCTAACTAAACTAGGAATTAAAGGACGGTTAAAAATAAGGGGATTTCAAATGGAAAATGCATGGTGATTTCTTTTTAATTAAAAATATATATATAGACATGGCGGGTTTAATACATGTTCACTTGTATGTTTCATTGCATCAAATTCAAATTTTGAGTTTATGTTAGAAATAAAAAGAAGGTGGGTTTTTTTTTTCTCTGAAGCTGAATACTTGCACTCATGCATACTCAGTGTGATGATGATTTTTTACCATCTCACTAATTTGGAGATATTTGAGAATTTGGGCTAGTTTGTTTCGCTTAATTACACCCACTTTGTAAACACCCTCGTCTTAATTTAATGGATTAGGTCGGATCTTTGAGAAAAAGGAAATCCAACTTTCCCAACTTTTTCCAAGAAATCTACTGAGTCTTTCCTCATCGGAAGATGCTTACTCCTACCCAAAGTTTCAAAGATTCACACCACCCTTTTACACTCTACTGACCAAAAAGCAAATAGGCCGTTGATGTTCGATTCTCTCCCCCTTAATAGTAATATCGCTTGTATAAAAATAAAACAAAAATAAAAAATTGTGGAGTCATGTACTAGCTGCACTATTCTGAAAAGAATTACCTACAACGATTCTAATGAAAGAAATATTAAGACTCAAGATTTCAAATTGTTAGGCACCCTTCGCTTAAATGTCAATCTTTAAGGTCCTATTTTACCCATGTACTCTTAACAATTAATATCATAACTTAGTTTCACCACAATTAGTAGCTGGTTTTTAAAAACAAGTTTTACCCATATGCTCTTCATAGATGGGCAAGGCTTTTGTCTTTACAGACTTTGGTCTTGTCTCGAGCTCTGGAGTGACCACGATGAGACCTTAACATGATTGATCCCATTAACTTTCCTTTCTTTTCCAAAAGAAAAATAAAGCACTTTCCTTTCTTCTTCCTGTCAACAAAGTGTTGGCAAGTAGACATAATTGACGCCAATATCAAAAGCTCCCTTTCGTTTCGGCTAACCCGATTCCCGCGTACTTAATAATATTTATTGTAAATAATGTCATGATAAGGTTTGCTTTTCTGCCTTCATCAAAGTTGATGTTCATAATGGATTCATTAATTAATTGTGGGTGTTTTGTGTGTCTAATTTTCCACGCGGTTTTATTATCTTTAATACAATCTTAACAAAACTTTCCATAATTAATAAGTTTTATTCACACTCCAAAGTGGTGGAGGACTTCTCAGACTTATCGGAGAGATCTACATGGAGGGGAAAAAGAAGAAAGATGGAAAAGTACGTTGGGCAATAAGAACTTCTCTAAGGGAGATGTTAAATTCAATGTAGCAATTTTAGCCAAACCCGACCCTCACTTTTTGGGTGGCCTGTGGTCAAGAATTGAAATATCGGCCGATACACTGATATATCGGTATTTTCAACTGTCGACACCGATACAGGGGGGTAAGGCCATTTCTTCCCCTGTATCGACGATATATCCCTGATAAGAGCAATATCCCCGATATTTTGCTGATATCCCCGATATTTCCCGATACCCATAACAGAACCCAAAAAAAATTTAGAAGTTTGAAGGCAATTGAAGCAAATTGAAACCTAAAAATAGCTAATCCTTGCCCAGAACCTTATAATTTATTAATATGAATAATCTATGCACAGTCCACTGCCCACATACCTCCAATCCATCTGAAGAGGACATGGCGATCAATTTTGGATCTATGAGCATAGGAACTAGACCTATTACTAACTCAAATGAATCTTATGATGGCTATGGTTATGTCATGTCTGATTATTGTGGAACTAGTTATGGAGCTCAAGATGATAAAAAAGATTATGGATCTACTAGTTGGTTAATCCTAACTATCTTATATATAGGAGGACAATAGGGAGCTCAAGAGAGACCTATGTGCACCATGTTCAAACATGGCTTATAAACTGCTCAAGTTACATGACTTGGTATGACTATTGTATGAATATAGATGGTTGTTCCTCATTGTTTGAACCTCATAAGAGCTCTTCATTTATGTAGATGGACGTTTATCTAAATTGTAATTCAATGTTTAAACAAACTATGAATTTATGCATGGTTTATTCATTCTAATCAACATTTTATTTTCAAAACTTTTCATTAACGTGCATTACATACCACTTTATTTCATCATATGTATATCTTATTATTAGTAAATTTTGAGTTTTATTTGTTCAATACATTCATTGATAATACACATAACATTTATGAAAGTTTTACACCAGAATTATGTGTTTCAATGTCTATATCTATCATTTTTATTGATTTTTTCCGGGATACCTAAAACGATAATAATATATCCCTCGAAATATCCATAAATTGGAGGCCCAATATTATTTGCACGGCCAATATTTTAATCCTTGCCCGTGACCAAAAATTAAATGAGGCATTTTCCCTTAGAGCATTCACAATCATGCTATATATTTTTTAGTTAAATTTTAGCTAAAGACATATAAAAGTTATTTAGAAGCTCTCTATAAAATTTAAACTTCAATCGTGCTCTATAGTTTAGGGAGTTATAAATGCTATAACTCTTTTTTGATTGGTCCATCTCTATTAAAAATAAAATAAAAAATAGTCAGCATTAAATAAAAATTTGAAATACTCATTAAATAAAACAGCATTATAGGAAGCCACTAGGAGTCCTTTCTCTCTCCTCATATTTAGGGGGGTGGATAGAGAGCATGGTTGGAGTTGTATTTTTACAATTTTTCCTTAAAATTTGTCTAAAAAAGTTGTTTAGGGAGCCCATTATGGATGTTATTAGGAACTCCACTAAGAAACTCCGCTTGATTTATGCAAAACTACAATGTTATAATTAAATTAATACATGCAATTCAAAATTAGAATATAAAAAAAGAGCGGAAGTCCTCAACAACATGTTTACCTTACTTCATCACCAAGGTGCCAATTACACGTGTAAAAGGGTATTGAGAGGCTCTTACATCTACATGGCCGACCACAACGTCTAATGCCTATCGCAAAAGATATTTGAAGAAGAAAAATAACCTATATGGCCTACTATCAACTACAACACATCAGGGAAATATTATTTTCTTAAGTTATTTGTATTCTCTATCAAGAACAAAACAGTACATTAACCTAATTCTATTGCTCTTGAAGTCCTTGTACGGTCCGAATGTGGCTTGTTGTTGTTTTCTTCTTATATTTTTGACTCGTCGTTTTTGGTTTGGTTTCTTCTTATCTTCCGATGGGAAGGGAGGTGACGAAACTGCTGAAGAATATAAGTTCTACATTGGAAACTTGACTAAATAAAATACAACATATAATGAATAGTTCCAATACTAATATCATTGAGACTTTTTGTGATAAAATCCACATCTACTAGGCTTTGTAAGTAGTTAAGTTGTGGACAATATCAATATTGCTGAAATTTGACACGTCATCGTTAGAAGATAGAATGAGTGGGGCGGCAGCGGAAGTGGCTGTGATGATTGAATTTTTACTCATCATCCGAGAGAGAGAGAGAGAGAGAGAGTTGCAGTGAGGGGAGGGGAAGGGTTGAGGTTGCAAGGAAGAGTGGTGCTGGGTTTAGTAAAGATGGTGAGGGGTGGTGGAGGCATATTCTTGGTGGTCGGCAAGCTGGGGTTGTCGAGGAAGGGTGTGGCTTTTGGGGTTGATGGGGTTCTATTTTTTAAAAGTTCTTAATTTTAAGTTGGTTTTTTAAATGTTTTCTTCTTATTTTAATCAATTTTAAAATAAAAACAATCGAAAATATGGGACTCATAGTACCACGTAGGTAACTAATGGAGAAATATGACGGAAAACTCGAACGGTGGAACCGCATTGTAATAAATTGAACAGATCGGGGGTATCTAACTGCAAAATCAAGAGGACAGGGACAAACATGCCTCACAAGTGCAACCACAATATACTAAACTGTCATTAACCCTTA